CACCTTGGGTTAACTAACCTCACATTTTTTTCCATTTGAAGGTCGCCAGCTGCATAGATGTGGCGAAACCTGAGAATTCGCCAACCAAAAACCTCAGCCCCGGTCCCCTCGGTGAGGCACAATCCAAACCTTGTATTCAAATGGCCGGCCCGAAGCCACGCGAAGAATCCGAAATTCTGGCCGCATGCGGCCGCGCCTATTCTCGGTAGGGACCGTCCCCAACCTTCACATGCCCGCGCTTCATACACGCATCCATCAGAAATGTGCCATCCAAGAATGACACTCAGAGTTTCCAATCCTACACAACTTACCATCCAACCCAACCCCCAAACAGTACTATATGCAAATATACATATATACCAAAAAAAAAAACGACCCCCGCTGCCCTCCCCGCGCCTGTCCCAGGCCTCTGGAGCCCACCCGCTGCGCCGCCTCGAAGGGCAAAACCTCCACGCGGCCCAGCCGCGTGGCGTTCAGCGCCGGCGCACGCACCGGCAGGATGGGGAAGACCTGCGCCGCGGGCGGAGCGGGGAGCGGTGAACTAGTTTGGTCACCCATGAACATGCTCCCACTAGTTTGGTATTCACTGGGTCTATTCTTTCGATAATTGCGTCGTAAAACACTTCAACAACACCCATGTTTTACACACAGCTCCCGCAGCTGCTGTCCCTTTGGGTAAATTGATGAAGTAAATGGGGCATAAAACCCATCTAAACTTTGTCTTTGGTAAAATAGGTGGGGTAAAATACTTCCAGCTACACCAGTGGGACCCGCAAACTCGCCTAACGACACCTATGGATTGAAGTTGTGCTCTTGTCTCGGTTCCTGTTTGGCCAAAGTGTCGAAACTTTTGGTTTGCTACTAAAGGGATCCAAACCCAGATAGGAGAAATGAAGGTCCCCCAATCACTTTTGAGGAGGTTCCAACTCTTAGGATTCATTCCTGTATATGGACAGTGTCAAGATTTAACAACAATAAGTGGACATGCGCTTCCGAAGACCCCCCAATAGTCGCAACCTACCCAAGCGAGCGAAAAGGAAGAAAGCGACTGGCCTGGCCATACTCAATGACGCCATACCGGGGTCCACAGACTGTGGCATAGCCAGACCGCCCCGCGCAAAGGGTATAAAGGCTCATGATCTCCTTGCCAAGCTGAAATTCCTGGGCTCACGCTTTGGAACAAAGGCTGGAAATCACCCTTTTGTGGGTGGTGTTGGAGCGTTGATTTTGAAGGGAAACAAGCAAACATACAAAACAGAGGGACAAACAGGACACCCGCGGTTTCGCTTTCTATGGGAACCCGAGGGTGGACGCACAAGGGAGGGGGGAAACGGAGAGGGTTTCAGCTTTCTTCCGGGAAGGGGCCCCGCTCACCTGACCCCCAACTTGTGGTGGGGTGTTGGTGTTCCTACAACCGGAAGTTCAAACCTCCTTCCACCTAAAAGGCGAAAGGGTTACCTGATTCGTTTCAACAGTCTTGCTACAGCCCACTTGGCTCACTTCAATCAAATCAACCCTGGCCAACTCTGGCTGGCCAACTTGAGATGCAAAATCACACCAACAGAGATCCCAGCAACAGCATGTAAGAATTGCACGGAGGGGGGGGGGCTCGCTCCCAACTGAAAACAACATGTGCAGATTCTGGTCATTTCTGCTTGTGAACCTAAACCTATTAACCAAAAACACGAGGGATCCCAGTAAGAAATGTGCTTGTCGCTTTGAGGAGACCAACAAAGGCAGTGTCCCTGCCTTTAGTCCCCTTCAAACCCCCCCCCAAAAAAAAAGAAAGAAAAAGAAAACAAAAAGAAAAGAGGTACCGGGCCTCAACCAAAGCCACCCCCAATTTTGATCCAAGGTTCAGCCTCTCGCACCCAACTTGCAACCAACACGTTTCTCGGATTCTGGTCATTTCTGGCCTTTTGGTAGGGCTCAAAAAGGAAACCCAAAGAAGGGTTTCCCCACGATAGCTTCATAGCTTCATAGCTTCATTCAACCGTCTCCCCTGCCATAATGGCGGGCGTAGGGGAGGGGCAGTGGGTCCAAGCGTCCGCCTCTTGGATCCGCATATTCAGCACCAGCTGGTACACGCAGCTGGCGGCCCGCCCGCTCAGCTCATCCGTGCACCGGTCCCTTAGCGAGTGCCGCGGCTCGAACTCGATGAAGTACTCACGGTACCTGCCGGGTTTCGTGTGGGGCTACATCCTTCTTGCCTAGGTCCTCCAGATTTGAGAGGTTAGAATAACAGGGATCCTTACATTACACACTTGAACATTGCAACTTTTAAATGGTGGTTTCCAACTTTATTTTGGTGTTGAAAAAGCAACATGTTTCAATTGGTTGCAAAAAAAGGGTGCCAACTTTTTTCTGTAGTCTATTTTTAGTAGGGGAACCCTCCCAACCAAAAAAGGGGGTGAGAAAGGGCACTACTGGGGGACCTAGTTACCATAAGGGACGCGCGTTAGCCGCTGAGGCGTGTCATTTTTGGAGAGTGTTTTTCCTTGCGGCTTCCCTTTCAACCCAACTCAAAAGGGCTTCCTTCAAAAAGCAAAACACCCATTGAGAGCTTGCTGGGAAATGATGACAGTTCCTTGGTAGCTTGTCTCCCTTCAGCTGACCCTTGATAAAAATTGATTGTGTCTCCACACGGTAAGATTGGGCCTTGTCCCAGGGTTGTGGGGAAATCTATTAAGTCCCCCATGTTCCTCAGCAACTACCTCAACTTGGTTCCTTAGCAAGTGGGAGACACGGGAAACTGACCGGAACTTGATGTCCTTGAAACCTCCCCTCGCCCTCCATTTTCAGGGAACCCAAAACAAAAAGGGAGGCTCCAGGGATTGCCGGTTGGCTGGGGACAATGGCCCGCTTTGAGATGGGTGGCATTGGTGTTGCCTCATTGCAGGGTGAAATGGGCTGATGGCAATCAGGAAAAATTGAAAGGACCAGCCTGACCCGAGCTGCACGACATATTTCCATGTTGTCAGCTGGATGTTCCCACATCAACAGTTGATTAAGTTCTTTGTGGGTCCGATCAAACAACCACAAATCTGAATCTACTAGATCTTCTGCGCTCTGAGGGAGCGTTCCCACTCATGTTTCTAACAACTTGGACAAAGTCACTCCTGGTTCAAGCGGCTTCCAGGGCAACGGGCTGAGTTCACTAACGCGTAACTCCCATCGAACTTCCCGGAGGGCACGAGGGCTGCTCCTGGCCATTCGGGTCCTTGAAGTCCGTGTAGAGCGGGCCATAATAGCAGCCCTTGGGCAGAGGGAAGCCAGACACCTCGAAGGCAAAACGAGCGCGCACGTGCGTCGCGCGAGCCTGTGATCCCAATCGGATACGTTTGGGCCACGTAACACGTCACCCAAATACCAGCCAGGTTTAGAGGATCTCGCATTTACAGAAGGTGTGCTTTGGGATGTATCTCTTGGATTGTATCTCTTGGACTCCTAAGGCAACGGGGAAAGTGGTGTTTTCCCGGCCCGGGCCTCAATAAGGTTGACAAGCTCCGGAGGCATCTGGGGTTTGGGGGCATTGGGTCGCAAATGCCCCTCACCTTTTGGGGCACGTTCCATGTTGAGTTGGGGAGCAAGTGCCTGGTTTCCTGAAGGACTTGTTTGCCATCAAGATCTGCAAAAGTGGAGTCCCCTTGTTGGAACGCCCAGAGGCGTCGTTGGCCAAACATCCTTCATATGGCCATGAACCCTTCGCACCCCAAGACCGGCGGGTTTGGGGCTCAACACTTCAGCGCCCCCTTCCAGGAGTCCCCCGCATGAGCGTCTCTTGGTTCCATCTTGGCATGGGAAGCTCCTGAGCCCAGCCGCATCGTTGGTCCACATCTCCAGAAAGAGGCTGCCGCAAACCGCCTGGCGACCGTCCGAAGATTTGAACCTCGGACACCGCCCGCCATGTCCGTGTGGGGGTTTGACTCCGTCGCTAGAGGGAGGCTTCTCACGCCTGAGACGGGTATGTTCCACAAAAAGATGCCAAGAACGTCCAAGTCCAAAAGCAGATCTAAGGTTGTTTTTGATTTGCGAGCTCAGCCAGGAAGAGTAAAGTGGCCGGGTTCCCTTTACACGCCAACCAAACAACATAGGCACACTTGGACCAAATGGAAGCTTAACCTGTGAGAACTTGACAAATGGGAAGGCTGCAAGGTCGGCATGGTCCGTGCCAGGAGCAAACATTTAGTTTGAATCTCCGCCCCTGACCTCAGATGAGTGGCCAGAAGAAATAATTGAACTTCTCGGCAAACTAACATGAAGAAACCTGGCGGATGAGTGGCAAATTTGGTGATTGAACAGCCAGGAGCAACGAATACCTTACACCCCGTCCCCCTCGAACCGAAGTCAAAGTCGGTGTTGATCGTAATTGCTTGCAGTTCGCCTTTGGCGATGGAGCCAAGGCCTACGCCAGGATGAAAGTAGATGTCACAAGTGCCTTTATGCAGGGGTAGGTTATGTAAGTAGGGGAATGGCAAAACCAATTTTCGTGAGATTGCTAGCCATCTTTCACCCACAACCTCCTTTATGCATATGATTATATATGCACACATTTGAGCAATCAAACAGGATGATTGATTAAACCCACCGTTCATGGAACTCTGCATGTCGGATGACTAAACCAAAATTGGTGTAACTCGCGACACCATGGCCCCCGCCTGGCTCATGTCCTCGGAGGCCACGGTCTCATTGTCCCCCATCTCCACCCGCGAGGTCGTCAGCGGCGTGATGCTGCGGGGCATCTCCTGATCGCCCGCAGGACGTGCCCCAAGAAAACGTGTCCAGCGGCCCAAGGTCGGTTTTGCGTGTTGTTTTTTTGCCAAAACCGGTGGGGGGGCAAGCCACGAACCACCAATTGCGCGGGTCCCGAACAAGGAGTCTCAATGTGGGTCGCGGGCCCCAAAAAAGTGGCGGTGATTTCTCTTTGGCCCTTAGCACTAGCCCTAAAAAGGGTCTCCTCAAAAAAAGTGTTTAAGGAGGACGTAGGTGTCCAAAAATCAGGGGAACACCCCAACAGTGGGGGGTAGTTTCCCGTTGGCTTCTCTTTAAAGCCACCCGGCATAAAGGGCACCCTTGAATCAGGTTATAACTAAAAACGGCTTCCGTGCGAAAAGCCCCAGCCAAAGACGTGCCTTCTTGTGTTGGGCGGGCATTGCCCCCTGGCCCCTAATGCGGGGGGTTTGTGGGGGGGGAGGCGGGGGCAAGCGACCCTGCTGCCAAAACACTTTGGGACGCCCAAGGGAAGGATTGAGGGTGGCCCTTGACCAGCCCTGGGCGGGCCACTGTTCCATGGACACTTCAAATGTCTTGCGGCAAAAGAACCCTAAGTGCAGGTGCTTGCCAAAAAAAAAGAAGACCCCAGCTGTCCATCGTGCGGGGGACCCCCTACGGGGGTCCCCTTTCTTCCCCCCGCCACCGCCCAACTGTCAGTAGCTCACCAACACCACCGGTGCTGCTCACTCCTTAAAGAGAATCCGAAGCACAATGGAGGTCTGCCTCCTGGCTCTTGCGTGGTTGGCAACCACCCTTTCTGTCATACCGCTGAGTGGCTCCCGTATGACTGCCGAATAGGATACGTCCAAGGGGAATGTCCAAGGGTACCAACGGAAAGTGCACTTCCGGCATTCCCTAAAAAGGCCAACGATTTTCCACAACCCTTTTAACACTTGAAAGGGAAAGCAGCCCTAGTGTTCGGCTCTTTCGCACCGACCGCAGGCCTGCCATTTCGAGCCCCTGGAGTTTGGGTCCGTCCATTTTTTCTCCGGGGCCCACCCCACAAAAGGGGCCCGGTTTTCCTGCTGGCTTCCCCTTTAAACACAAAAAAAAACAAAGGGGTACCCTCAAAGAAAGAAGAACACCAAATCATTTGGACACTAATCTAAAATCTGTGAGCTGGGGTCATTTGCAGCCTGGAAACTCCCAGACTATATCAAGGGCATGGGTGGCTTCCCTTTAGTTCCCCGTCGAAACAACCACAAAACAGGTACCCTGGTACCCTCAACAAAGGACCGCCCTGCGCGTATGTCTACAGCTGCGGCTGGGGCATTGCCCTGTCCAAGGTCCAAACCCCACCTGAGAAAGCCTAAGGTGCATACTGGGTACTAAACAGCGTTCATATGAGTCTCCGCGTTTTTGCGAGTGATCCTTGCGGGGAACCAAGGGAACACCTGCATTTTTTAGGGCCCACTTGTTTCAAACACGCCATGACACGCCCATATCTACAGTTACCAGGGCGACACCCGGTAGTTCAGAGGGGCAAGATCTTGGTTTCTTCTTAGGCTCCGGGAGATGCACGCAGCGACTTAAGATATCTTGTAGTCCATGGTCGATTTGAGAGCTTGGGGGGGCTTATTGGACCTCCCACAGTATCCAAGTTGATTCACCACTTGTCCCGTGCCCATTGCGGGAACATAGTTTGACTGGCTTTTCGCTGCGCAGGACGGGTTCTGGATTGGATAAACCCCGGCGAAGGTAGAGTTCGAGCCAATTAGCCTCCAATATCCCTAAGGGTGGGCTGCTACTGGCTCTGTTCTAAAAACCATGGCCGAAAAGACGCCTGGGGCTACTCTTCTGCGGATTGAAGTACACTAGTAGGGGTACGCCCCCCAGGGTCACCACATAATAACCATTGATCTAATATTAAAAAAAACGGTATGGAGCCTGAAATAAGGAACCTGAAATCGCACGCATTGGCCTTTGAACCTGAAATAAGGTATCCCCAAGTATGGACACTTCATTGCTGAGCCGCGGTCGTTGCAATAACCGGTTGATCCCTCTAACGGGATGGGCTGGGGCTGGCACTTCACCATGAGGCCCAAAATGCACCAAACCAGTTGGGGCTTAAATGAGTCACAATCAAAACCTGGTACCAAAATGGTGAACCCAGAACCATGTAAGGAAATGAAAAGGCGGCCGCAACCATTTATGGCTGAGATTGCCCCTTACAAACCTTCATTTACCCGGGTGTTGATTGCGATTCAAATGAAGAAGTAAACTAGTTGTCTGGAGGCCTTTGGCGGTTGAGGCAAACAGGGCTCGCGCATTTGCCTGTTCAATACTACCCCGTCAAGAGGAAAATCGCATGACGTGGCACTAGGTGATGAAATCCCAAAAGAGGATATCTAGGAATTAACACCTGGCAAAAAAAAAAGTACTGGCTACGGCAAAGCTTCCCGCAGCGAGATTTTTTCAGCTGAGCGGCCGGTAGTCAACCTTGCCTCAGGCAAAGGGCTACGAGAAATTTGCGAATGAAAACTGCGTACCGCAAGACATGAGGACGCCTACTTACACTTGCCAAATTGCCAGGAAATTCAAGATTTCCCACCTGTTAACTAACAGGGAACCCTGAACAGGAGGGGACAGGAACTTGGAGCTGTGATTTTGTAGATGGGGCAAACAAAGAGCCAAAATCCTACCACATCAACACCGGTCGACCGGATCCGCGATCCGATGACCGACGTCCAAAGTTTCAAAGCTCCGACTCACTCGTCATTCTTTGGTGGCAACTTGGCCCCAAATGGTCTCCACTCTTTGACCCCGACCCATAAAGGCCCCCCCCTTGCATCAAATAGATACCCACACCTCTCGGAACCCCAACCCTAAAGTCAAAGGAACTTTAGCTTTGTCGCCCCCTCCCCGGCCCTCTTTCGACTAACCTCCCAAATGCCGGTGAGTGACGGAAAGCAACGACCCCCCCGAAAATGCACAATGACCCTGAAACCCCCTTGAACCTCGAGATGTTGAAGCTCTGCTTGGAATAAAAGTGAAAAGTTGCGAAGGGAACCCTCCCAGGCGGTTGGTTATCAAGGGGGGCCAAAGGGCAAAAAAACACCACTGTTTGCGGGCCCCCTATTTAAAGAGACTCAAAATTCAGCTTGGGCCCACTGGCTTCTGGAGTTAGAACACCATTAATTCGCACAACCTCATTTATCAGGGTTGGGCCACCCATGTCCGTATCGAACTTGTGCTGGCTCCTTAGCTCCGTCTAAACACATTTTCCGACAGAACAAGAATAGGAAACCACCTCAAAAGTGGCCCGTGGACGCGAACCCCCCGGAATTCTGATGTCCAAAAAATGCGACACCCCAAGCTACAACACCAAGGGACTGCCAGTTGGAGAAATAACTCTTCTTGATGGGAAACCCACGCTTTTTGAAACTCAGGGACATTTTCTCACTTCCTGAGCGGTTTGGCCCAAAAAGTCTGAACTTGTTGCTTGCGACTAAACTTATCTTCCCAAAAAGTATCAAGTCCAGACACTCAGGAAGAGCTTGGGTGTCTTCAAATGGAGGACCCCACAGAATTTGTTTTTCCCTCTTTAAAACCACGTGGGGGGCTCCCACCCATATCATTTAAGATGTCCCCGAAAGTTGACCCCACAAACCCGCCCGGAACAATGGGGGATGGGGGGCTGGTTGGGGTAGGCGGGCGGATCGGTCGCTCGGTCCCTCCCCTTTCGCCTCTGGTGGGCGTGAAGGAGATCACCGCCGGAGCCTCAGAGCCTCCAGCCAGGCTCGTGAAGTACCTGCCATCTCTCGGTGTTTTGGAGGTGCCTTCCTTTTTGGGCGTCTCTCAGGCAGTCTCTAAGGAAGCCTTCAAATGCCTGGATCTGTTTTTGTCCCTTGAACATAAACCGAAAAGGGGATCTCACAAGAAGAAGACACGTCCCCTTTTCGCCGGGGAAAAGTTCGAAAGATGGTTGAAACCATTCGACCTTCCAAGAACTACAATGATTTAGCAACTCAGGCTCAAATCGGACTGTTACAGCACCTTTGGGATGCCTGGGTCAAAAAGTTCTTGTGGACACTTTCCAAATCCCTGAAATGCAAAACGAGCACGTGGTGTTTGCCGGACGTACTTTGTTCCAAGCTTGTTTGCCATGGAAATTATTTGGATGAAACATTGGACAAACTGCATGGTTGAAGCACCTAAATTGCTTGGATGAGCTATCTCGGTGTGAATTTGGGGCACTCTTGTGGACATCATTAGGGGATTCATGAGGTGGCTCCAACTGAAACACCGTAGCCATGTTTATTTCATACTATCTCCAGTTGCTTGAGTTCCCCGGAAAAATAAGCATATTTACAGTTTCCCTTGAAGATCAACAGGGGTAATAAACAGGGATCCTTACATTATACACCTGAACATTGCCTTGTAAATGGTGCTTTCCAACTTTATTTCTGTGGAGAAAGCAACATGTTTCAAATGGTTGCAAAATGGAGATCTTCTAAGGAGCCCTGAAAAACAAACCACTTAAACAAATGAAAGAACATGGTTGCCATTTGGCCGGGGTACAAGCCCGCCGCCGCCATGGGCGCTGGGGACGCGAAGGTCAGCACTCCTGCTTCGCCGTAGTACTCCTATCGGCTCCGAATCGATTCGTGGAGGAAGTTGGGTGCCAGGGCTCGCTACACTTCCCTCAGTGGATTTAAAACATCACCTCCTGCACCTATTTATAGGGATAGGTTCTGGGTCTGGATTCTACGGCGCTAGCGGTTCGAATCAGTTTGGTAGAACCACCATGGGTGTAGGAGGTGCTGTGCCTTTGCCACCAGCTTTCAAGAATCAGCATGAGACTTGATTCCGGGTATCCTCTGCAAGGTGATTCTGTTGCAAGCTCGCAAATCCATTTTGCGAACCGTGAAATGGCTAGTTGCGGCTTGAACCAAAAGGCAAGCATGGCAAAAGCGAGGACGAAAATGCAACCATGCATTTCCAAGTGTAAGCACAAGGGACGCGGTCCAACGCGAGGGAAAACAAAGCGGGTCGACAAGTTCGGGTTTCCGAAATCCATCTGAGCCAGGCTGAAGGCAGGTACAATTCCTGATAAGCAAAGAGGATGGCTGCCAGTTTTGTGAGGAGAGGCCGGTGACCGCTTTGGCATGCTGCTGGAAACCCACGAAACAAACAAACAAACAAACAAACAAACAAAGAGGATGGCTAAGCCCGGGCTGTTCAAACTGAAGTGGCCAATCCAATCCATGATCCCCATCGGGAAACCCGAGCTTTCGCAACATCTTCGGATTGCCGAACAGCCCAACTCTCGAGCTCATCACTCCTGATTGCCCCCGTCTCTGGCACCCCAGCAGATCTTGAGCGATGCGGCCGCATCCGCTTTGATCTCCTCCTGGCGAAAGAGGTTAGTAGGGAAGACTAGTTTTGATCTGTGGCTTGTGATAATGTTTGGTTGCTTGCTTGGTTTGTCTTTGATGCTTCTGGTGCTTCAGTTTATGTGCCTTCATCGTTTCTTTTGATGTGTCTTTCGTTGTTTATGTTTATTAGCGGGTACATTGTTTGTTGCGTGTTTTATGCGTTGCTTGTTGCGTGATGTGTTGTTTCGGTGTCGTTTGTTGACTAGCATTCACGGTTTTGAACCTAACACAACCGAGACCCAAAATAAGCCTGTCTTTTCTTGCACGGTTTTGACTGGATAAAAAAACAAAACTCACCCGCGACCAGCACTTTCACTGTGTGACTTTGCTAAAGTGTAACATGGAACCAGGGCCTTGCAGGGTCCATGGCATTCCTCTGGGAAGAACAACTTGAGGGCGTTCTAAAACTCAACAGGCAGTCTGCCGGCTGTCAGTTCAAAGCGTTTGGGCCAGCAGCAGCGTACTGGGGTTGTTGACTCCGCTGTAGGGGGAGTGAATAATTGTTGGACAACTGTTCTGTATGCCCTTAGCTTCAACGGATGCCGGCATTACCCCACAACACCACTCAAACAATTAATGGCTGCTTGTTTGACCACTTTCAGATGAGCTTGAAAGAGAGCTCCAAACGGCGAACCACAACGCCCCCCTTCCCCCCGTATTCTTGCTGGTGCTGAGTAGGGAATGACCGAGCCCGGGTGTTGGAAATCAACCCAGAGGTCCCCGTAAAGGGAAACCACAAGATTCTCACAAGATGCTTTTTTCGGGGTCATTCCAATTCTCATTCCCCGCCCATCGCACCAGCAAGTATTGTCACACATACGCGTCTCACTCCTGCGTTTGCAGCCGGTTCCGCCGGTGCCACAGGCCTCGGACAAAAAAACAACAACACCTAGACTCGTGAAGGGCCCCCTTGCTGTAACCCAGGATTTCACTTGGATCAAAAGGCAACTTTGTTGCATGGGGTGGATAACCCTTACGGATTACCTTTTGTTCCCCCACCCGTTTCCTGCTCTGTGTACCTTGGGTATGCCAACTTCACTAAACCAGGGCTTAGAACCTCTGCATTTCATTGGCTTCCTGGTTGCATATTTTTCAATCCCTCAGAAATGGGGCCTGGTTCAAGCGGCGGTTGCCTCTTTTTTTTAAAGGGGGGGTCACAATTACTTGTGCGTCCTGATGGTTTTCCCGGGCCTGTAAACCCATCCAAATGAAGGATATATAATCTTGAAAGATGCCACTGCAGACCCAACACGAGTCACTTCTTGAGTGGGCTGGCCCTAAAAATGCGGAACTTGTTTGTCCGGAGCCAAGCTTCAACATCTAAAATGTGGTTCGGATCCCCTGTTGCTTGGAACCACCGGTTTTGGGGGACAATTTTGAGAAGCACCCATCTGAATCAATCAACATCGGCCTAACATCATGGGAAACCATGGAAGAACATCATGGACTTTCGGTGGCAAATGCGACCCACGTGCGGTTGCAAGCTGATGCTTCCCAATTGGGGGCTTGGCTTGGTTGATGGTAAGGAGGCTTCCCATCTACCCTCTGCAAGAACCAGGGCCAAACCACCAATCCCAACCACAAACTAAGGGTTACCTGATTGATTTGCCAAGCGGGAAAAGATGGAAGCGCTTTTCCTCTCGGAAAACGCGCCTGTGCACTTCCATCTTGGTGAGCCGATGCCCTTCGACAGATCAGACTTCCGTGGGGCGGCCCAACTAAAATCGGATTTTGCTTGCTTCCACTTACAGGGTTTGAGTTGCAAACCGCTCGTCAATTCGTATGTCTGCGAAGGGGATACCTCTCCCTTGAGGGGAGACATGATCTTCCCGACACTTCGGAACTAAAACCAACGACTTGAGAAGGGCAGGCCCGAAGCTGGCACCGCTTGCCATATCATCCGTGCCCCCCCCCCCCCACGCGGGGGCCCCAAAAAATGCGGCAAATGCAACCCTCAAGCGAAGGCTCTTCGTGCCAGCTTTCGGGAAAGTGAGTTTGCGTAAAGAAAGCACGTGCCCTGCTTTGCCGCCAAGCCGTGTTGGTTGGGTATGTGAAGGAACTTTGAAGCAGGGCTTGCGTTTTGCCCTCTTGGCAAAAAGGCAAGGAACCCAGTCCCTCCAGGGTTGCTTTTCCAGGAAAGTCCAGATGCCATGCACCGAAACCTGCCGATCCATCTTGCCGATTTCGGTTTCTTGGCCAGACAAAAACGTTAAAACATGTTTGCTGGTGAAAATTGGGGCATGGCGGAAGCCCAAAGAGCAGGGGGCCAGGCAACAAGGCAACTCATGTGATCAATGCCTGTATAGAACCCAGATCTGTGCGCTCCAGCATGGTCGTGCAAATTACCCGTGTTGTACCAAAGTGGTAAATCCATACCCCTATGACCAGCATCTTACTTAACTACGGAGTTCTCTTGGATTTTTCCGCAGTAAGTAGCAACCTAAGATTAAAAAAAACAAAAAAGGAAGAAAACAAAAAACATACCTGCAGCTTCGGCGCCTTTGTTGTTCAAGAAGGTCAGTTCCGGGCGGTCTGCTTCGGCCCAACCCAGAGGAATGCTCAGCTGGTTGGGCGCGTCGGTGTGAGACACCCGATTCCTGGGATATCATTCATCCCACCCCACCCCGCCTCCCCCAACTCCCCAGCCCTTGGCCTCCTCAAAATAATCATTGGGGTTGTTTTGAGGGGGTAAGGAGGGGGGGGGAATTGGAACGGGAGGGGGTGGAGCGGACATGCAAGTTGCCATCTGCCGCTGCGGACAGAGCCGAAATTGACGGAACATTGCAGCTTGATAGTTTCGCGTTGAGCTGCTTCCGGAGCGCTCGAGAACTGCTCATGCATCTGAACCCTGTCTCTGCCTTTTCCTGGGTTGCTGGCACAAATAGGAAGTTGTACCCGAGAAGACGCAGACAACAGCTGCCAAGGCCGACCTCTGGTTGAGCAGATTGTGCCGCCACGCCATGGGTTTGAGCCCATACCCCAAGCAAAGCTTGTTGCCATCTTGGAAATCAACATGAACCCCCCCAAAAGAAAAGGAAGGGAGGGAGGGAGGGAGGAAGGGAGGGAGGGAGGGAGGGAGGGAGGGAGGAAGGGAAGGGAGGGAAGGGAGGGAAGGGAGGGAAGGGAGGGAAGGGGGAGGGGGAGGGAACGGAGGGAACGGAGCGAAGGGAGCGAAGGGAGCGAAGGGAGGGAAGGGAGGGAGGGAGGGAGGCAGGGAGGCAGGGAGGGAGGCAGGGAGGCAGGGAGGCAGGGAGGGGAGGAGAGGAGGGGAGGGGAGGGGAGGGGAGGGAGAGAAGGGGAGGGGAAGGGGGAAGGGAGGGAGGGAGGGAGGGGGGCGGGGGAAGGAGGGAGGAGGGAGGGAGGGAGGGAGGGAGGGAGGGAGGGAGGGAGGGAGGGAGGGAAGGAAGGAAGGAAAGAAAGAAAGAAGAAGGGAAGAAGGGAAGAAGGGAAGAAGGGAAAAAGGGAAGAAGGGAAGAAGGGAAGAAGGGAAGAAGGGAAGAAAGGAAGGAAGGAAGGAAGGAAGGAAGGAGGAAAGAAAGGAAGGAAGGAAGGAAGGAAGGAAGGAAGGAAGAACGAAAGAAAGAAAGAAAGAAGGAACCAAAGAACAAGCGAAGAAGGGAAGAAGGGAAGAAGGGAAGAAGGGAAGAAGGGAAGAAGGGAAGAAAGGAAGGAAGGAAGGAAAGAAAGAAGAAAGGAAGAAGGGAAGAAGGGAAGAAGGGAAGAAGGGAAGAAGGGAAGAAGGGAAGAAGGGAAGAAGGGAAGAAGGGAAGGAAGGAAGGAAGGAAGGAAGGAAGGAAGGAAGGAAGGAAGGAAGGAAGGAAGGAAGGAAGGAAGGAAGGAAGGAAAGAAAGAAGAAGGGAAGAAGGGAAGAAGGGAAGAAGGGAAGAAGGGAAGAAGGGAAGAAGGGAAGAAGGGAAGAAGGGAAGAAGGGAAGAAGGGAAAAAGGGAAGAAGGGAAGAAAGAAGGAAGGAAGAAAGGAAGGAAGGAAGGAAGGAAGGAACAAAGAAAGAAAGAAGAAGGGAAGAAGGGAAAAAGGGAAGAAGGGAAGAAGGGAAGAAGGGAAGGAGGGAAGAAGGGAAGAAAGGAAGGAAGAAAGAAAGGAAGGAAGGAAGGAAGGAAGAAAAAAAAAGAAGGGAAGAAGGGAAGACGGGAAGAAGGGAAGAAGGGAAGAAGGGAAGAAGGGAAGAAGGGAAGAAAGGAAGGAAGGAAGGAAGGAAGAAAGAAAGAAAGAAAGGAAGGAAGGAAGAAAGAAGAAGGGAAGAAGGGAAGAACGGAAGGAAGGAAGGAAGGAAGGAAGGAAGGAAGGAAGGAAGGAAGAAACAAAAAAGGAAAAGAAAGGAAGAAAGAAAGAAAGAAAGAAGAAGGGAAGAAGGGAAGAAGGGAAGAAGGGAAGAAGGAAAGAAGGGAAGAAGGGAAGAAGGGAAGAAGGGAAGAAGGGAAGAAGGGAAGAAGGGAAGAAGGGAAAAAAGGAAGGAAGGAAGGAAGAAAGAAAGAAAGCAAGGAAGGAAGGAAGAAAGAAAGGAGAAGGGAAGAAGGGAAGAAGGGAAGAAAGGAAGGAAGGAAGAAAGAAAGAAAGGAAGAAAGAAAGGAAGGAAGGAAGAAAGAAAGAAGAAGGGAAGAAGGGAAGAAGGGAAGAAGGGAAGAAGGGAAGAACGGAAGGAAGGAAGGAAGAAAGAAAGGAAGGAAGGAAGAAAGAAAGAAGAAGGGAAGAAGGGAAGAAGGGAAGAAGGGAAGAAGGGAAGAAGGGAAGAAGGGAAGAAGGGAAGGAAGGAAGGAAGGAAGGAAAGAAAGAAGAAAGGAAGAAGGGAAGAAGGGAAGAAGGGAAGAAGGGAAGAAGGGAAGAAGGGAAGAAGGGAAGAAGGGAAGAAAGGAAGGAAGGAAGGAAGGAAGGAAGGAAGGAAGGAAGGAAGGAAGGAAGGAAGGAAAGAAAGAAGAAGGGAAGAAAGAAGAAGGGAAGAAGGGAAGAAGGGAAGAAGGGAAGAAAGGAAGGAAGGAAGAAAGGAAGGAAGGAAGGAAGGAAGGAACAAGGAAAGAAAGAAGAAGGGAAGAAGGGAAAAAGGGAAGAAGGGAAGAAGGGAAGAAGGGAAGGAGGGAAGAAGGGAAGAAAGGAAGGAAGAAAGAAAGGAAGGAAGGAAGGAAGGAAGGAAGAAAGGAAGAAGAAGGGAACAAGGGAGGACGGGAAGAAGGGAAGAAGGGAAGAAGGGAAGAAGGGAAGAAGGGAAGAAAGGAAGGAAGGAAGGAAGAAAGAAAGAAAGAAAGAAAGGAAGGAAGGAAGAAAGAAGAAGGGAAGAAGGGAAGAAGGGAAGGAAGGAAGGAAGGAAGGAAGGAAGGAAGGAAGGAAGGAAGGAAGGAAGGAAGGAAGGAAGGAAGGAAGGAAGGAAGGAAGGAAGGAAGGAAGGAAGGAAGGAAGGAAGGAAGGAGGGAAGGAAGGAAGGAAGGAAGGAAGGAAGGAAGGAAGGAAGGAAGGAAGGAAGGAAGGACAAGGAAGGAAGGAAAAAAGGAAGGAAGGAAGAAAGAAAGAACAAGAAAGAAAGAAGAAGAAAGAAAAGAAGAAGAAGAAGAAAAGAAGGAAGGAAGAAAAGAAAGAAAAGGAAAGGAAGAAAGAAAGAAAGAAGAAGAAGAAAGAAAGAAGGAAGGAAGGAAGGAAGGAAGGAAGGAAGAAGAAGAAGAAGGGAAGAAGGGAAGAAGGGAAGAAGGGAAGAAAGGAAGGAAGGAAGGAAGGAAGAAAGAAAGAAAGAAAGGAAGGAAGGAAGGAAGGGAAAAAAAGACAAAGGGAAGAAGGGAAGAAGGGAAGAAGGGAAGAAGGGAAGCAGGGAAGAAGGGAAGAAGGGAAGAAGGGAAGAAGGGAAGAAAGGAAGGAAGGAAGGAAGGAAGGAAGGAAGGAAGGAAGAAAGAAAGAAAGAAAGAAAGAGACCTTCCCCAGCGGTCCCTCCCCTTCCGCAAAGCAGCCTCATTCGAACATTTAAAAAAGGTGAAAGGGAAGCCTGGCTTTTGCCCCAGTGCCCAAAATCAAGTCCGACAAGCCCACCTTTCAGCTGAAACCGACAAGTAGGGGAAGGGAAGTACGGCAAGTCCGGCTTGATCGCCTCCTGGGTACTTGGCCTCCTGTAAAACCGAGGTGCCAGAGCATTCGCTGGGACTCAGGCTCGTCCGCAAATGCTGGCCACCCAGAGAACTTGGAGACGATGTGCCTCCAACATTGCGGGGGCAGTGACCATCGCTTGTTGGTTTCCATCCTGCCACTTTGTCACTCCTTCATCCGAACATGGAACGGACACCCCAGATTGTGCAACGGAGTTTGTGGGAAGGTAGCCATTACGTCCTATAACCAGGCCATTTTCTACACGAATAAAGTGAGCCATCGGGACAGCCTGAAAAGGGACCATCGGGACCCGGCTGGCTTGCAAGTTGGAAAGCCCTGACCGCCGGTCAGTCTCCACATGTATGGGAATTGTTTCTATCCAGGGCTGTGGGAAATGACCACTTCTTTGATACAACAGAAAGGGCTTCCCAAACACCCACCCCCATATAAAGGGGGAGACTCCTGTATCACAGAAGTGGGGTAAAACCCCTTGATCCCACAACCCTGTTTCTATCCAGAGGGCTACACCGTTGCATTCAAATCGATCCCACCGCACTTCTCCTCGATGCTTGAGGGGCTGAGGGGTTGTGGGGTCGTAAGATGCCGGGGGGCACCCCACCTTTGGAGCCCCCCAGTTGCGGCCCTGCCTTTCATAGTCAGTCCAAGACAACTGCCCGCGCCCATTCAAGAGGATGCTGGATTCATCCAGGGTGATCTGATCGCCATCCAACACTTCTGATGTCACCTCGGCTATTTGCTTGCCGCATTGCCGGTGGCAACGGGTAACTGTCGTACTCCGGAACCGTGTTCAAGGAACTCACCATCTGAGAGTTTCTGCATTTGTGCAACTGGTTAAACCCCCACCCCAAAAAGAAAGAAACCAAAACAACGAACCCCGAGATCTTATTGACATTCAAAGGTGCAGAAGACCATAGAGCAACCCAAGGGGAGTGGAAAAACGAGCGATTCTCGGTCCCCCCAAAAGCGACCAAGGGTCCCTTGAATCCACTAACATGGCAACTGCCAGGGAGTCCCTTCAAACAAAAAATAATCTTCCAGGCACCTCCCCACAGGTGCCATGTTAGTTGGAAGAAAGGTGCCCTCAGAACATAGGCAATAGGACGATGCCGCACGTTCGGTGCAATGATGGAACGCTGGTTGCTTTGCTTCACATCGGAAGTCAAGGCTTGCCCTTAATTGTAGTTGAAGATGCAGCTTTGGTTGGGCTTTCGAATCGCCAACCTTTCACAAAAGAGTGTCAAAACAAGGGGACCGCCATTTTGCTCTTCCTTTGGTTTCCCTTTAACATGATCCCAACAGGTGTTACCTCAAAAAAACACTTGGGCCCCAAGGGAGTAATTAAGTCCACATTGTGGTGCAACCAACTGCTAAATCCAGCCAGCACCTCCCATTGCACTCTGAAATGATCTTCGACCAAGGCACTGCGCCGTTGAAGACCAATATCGTCCTGGTCTGCTCCATGATGACGCTTTCCTGAAATCTTTGCGTTGGGCGCTAGACCCGGACAGCGAGCTAGCCGCTAGCTGGTTCCTGTCAAAGCCAGATTGAAACACGTACATATTCTGCAAACAGAAATCAGGGATCCCTACATTACACACCTGAACATTGCCTTGTAAATAGTGGTTTCCCTGTATTTTGGTGGAAAAACAACATGTTTCAAATGGTTGCAAAATGAAGATCTTTTAAGGAGCCCTAGAAATATATGTGTGTATTGTCCACTATGTACATCTATATGGCTGATGGGCCAAAGCCGGAAATGGGTGTGTTTTCTTTTCGGGGAACCCCGAACATTAGCTGAGGTCCTGTTGGTGTCCCTTGAAAACCGCAAAAAAAAGGTGGTGCCTCCAAAAAACACAAACAGAAGTCCAGTTTGTTCTCGTCCCGGCCTTGAGTTTTGCACGGGTGACTTTCTGGAAAAACAGATGTGGCTGGCATACCCCATCTAAAGTGCCATCTGTGTATAACCCTCGTTCATTTGCCACGCTGGGTCCAGAGATGGCGCAAGGCGCGCTTAGCAGAGTGGTAGCCATGTGTCGAAGAATCCTTCTGGGGCGATGTTCAAAGGGAGACAACCAGGAAACTCTTTAAACGCTCAAAGCAATCTCCCCGTGAGAGAAAAGAGTAATGCTTTGGCTGAGCCACCCCTACATGACAACCCCCCAATTGGTTGACTAGGTCCTCCAGTGGAGAGGTTAGAATAAGGGTACCCACTTTTTCTCTGTAGTCTATTTTAGACACGGGGAACCCTCCTAACCAAACAAGTTGGGTGAGAGGTTGTGCATAAGAGTACCCACTTTTTTCTGTAGTCTATTTTAGTAGGGGAACCCTCCCAACCAAAAAAGTTGGGTGAGAGGTCGGGCACCAAGCTGGGGGACCTAGTTGAGACCCCCTGAAAACAGTCATGATCTGGGCAAAGCGCTGCAGGTTCGCAGGCTGGGACTAACCTCCAGCTTCAGAACCTTCACCATGAGATCTCGTTTTACAACCGAAGTTGCGAGATCCTTGTATAGCGCCTCTCCAGAAAGAACGGATCCTGCTGCAGGGTTCCGTTTTTTGGCCACGCCAAGCTAGATTCAACGCGATGGATTTCCTCCTTCACCAAGGTTCAATGTAGAAGCCCGTGGCTTCCGCGGAGATGAGCATCACCTCATGACAAAACAACCAGAGGACCCGACAACCGCCCGCCTCTCTCCACGAATATGGCCATGGGTCAAAACCCAAATTCCGGTTAGCCCAGTGGTTGCATCCCAATCCAACCACTTCTAAAATGATGGTGAATTAACCGAAAACCCCAAAATGGTACCGAAACGGCTTTGACAACCACAGCCATATCCATACCCGGCCCTTGTGCCCGTCTCCCTTTTTTTCCCCTAGAAGAGGGTTTGCCACACACCGGCTTTGGGGAAACGGAATCGGTGGCCCTGATCTTCGCATAATTTCGACCCAACAGAAGTCTGGCCATGAGCTCGCCGAGCGGCCGAGACATCCTCCTCCACCACTGGCTTGCGGCAGGTGAGGCCATCCACGCCGGGGCACCCCAGGCGAAAGCCGTCCACCACACCTGTTGCACTGCAGCCGTGTGGACGAGACATGAGACAACAACCTCGGATTCAGCCTGGTGAGGTATGGGGGCCCCATACCAAAAAGAAAACAATATGAACAAAAACACAAAACACGGAAACAACAAAAACAAAATCAAGGTGGTTTGCCCAACATGAAGGTGTTTTGCCTAAATGGGAGACCCACCACAGATTTATTCCGATGGATGTTGCTATGTTTCCCAATGGGCACACACAACGCACCAAGTGAACTATTGGAACCAAGGATTGCTTGTTGACTTCACTGTTTTTGGAACCAAGTCAAGCGGGGAATGTGCTGGATCTCTCTTTTTTGCTTTGACGTCGTGTTTTTTGTTCTTGCTCGCCAGCAAGATGCGAACGACTAGGGAAGTTGCTCTCTTGTGCAAAAATTGGCACGGCCTTCTTACGGCATGGTTTCAAGTCCCCTTCCCAGCCTGCAAAAGGGTACCATGAACAAACCACAATATATATATATATATATACATCTATTTGATCCCAAATAGTTATGAGGCGGGCGGGGGCGGGCGGGCGGCGGCGGCGGCGGGCGGGCGGGCGGCGGCGGCGGGCGTGCCGGCGACGCGGCGGGGCGGGCGGGGCGGGCGGCGTGGCGGCGGGCGCGGGCGGGGCGGGCGGGGCGGGCGGGCGGGTGCGGCGTGCGTGCGTGCGTGCGTCGTGCTGCGTGCGTGGCGGCGCGCGGGCGGCGCGGCGTGCGGGGGCGGTGCGTGCGTGCGGGCCGGCGTGCGTGCGTGCGGGGCGCGTGCGTGCGTGCGTGCGTGCGTGCGTGCGCGCCGTGCGTGCGGGCCTGCGTGCCTGCGTGCGTGCGTGCGTGCGTGCGTGCGTGCAGCGTGCGTGCGTGCGTGCGTGCGTGCGTGCGTGCGTGCGTGCGTGCGTGCGTGCGTGCGTGTGCGTGCGTGCGCGGGCGCGGCGGGCGGGCGGGGCGGGCGGGCGGGCGGGCGGGCGGGCGGGCGGGCGTGCGCGGGCGGGCGTGCGTGGGTGCGTGCGTGGGTGGGTGGGTGGGTGGGTGTGTGCTAGCTGTCTCAAGGGCCTGCCGCCATCACCTTGTGAGCCACGGCCACATCTCGGTCGCGCCTTTGGGATTGTTGGCATTCTCGGAGCAGGTCTGGGTCTGGGTGATGAGGCGAAGCGTGTCCTGGCAAACGAAAGACGCAGTTGCAGGCTGAGTTGCAGGCACGGGCGTCGCTTTCGAAAACCGGGTGTGCCCTGTAAGGGTCCCGCGCCACATTTGGGCAACCCACACTCCCCGCCCCCCCCTCCCCAAATTGGCGATTTTCATTTTAGTGTGCCCTTTTTAAAATCAAGCCACCCCCCCCCCCCGCCGTTGGGACCCCCAAAATCGGCGGCTGTCACGTTGGATTCCCCGGAAAGCCCCAGCAAAAGCTGGATCGATGCCCCCGAACCCCGGATCCTGCGAGGTGAAGCCCCAGCCCTCCAAGTCGATGCGCACCACAAAGTTGGTGGGCAAGAGCCTGGCGCTAAACAGCCGCGGGTTTGGGGTGTGGGGGAATTTGGGCTCGTCCTTGTTCCTTTTCTTTTGTGGGGGGCAAAAACCTGGTGCTGAAGGCGGGGGGGGGGGGGGGGGAATTTGGGCTCCGTCGTTGTTTCCCCCCCTTTTGTGGGGGACACTGCAGTCGTTTTTGGAGGTTGGCGTTTAAATGGAAAGATGGGTTGCTCCCCCGTTTTTTTGGTTGGTGCCAGGTTTGAGTTGCTTCTTTCTCGGGGAAACCCGAGAAAAAAAAGAAAAACAACTGCGAAGAGCAGGTTCCCCGAGAAAGACCAAGACCCATTGTGAGGAAATGGGAAAGCTGGCAGGGGTGGACACCAAAAACGGGGATCCGTCTGTTAGGTGAAAACCTCTTCAGATGGATCTCTTGCTTTTTCCACGGGAAACCCGCAGTTGCAGCCAGCGTGACCCAAATGTTGGTGAGTGGAAAAAGGGCTTCAGACTGGGGCTTGTCTCAAAATGGGATAAGAAAGCCCTAAACAAACGTCAAATCCACTCGATCTGCCCCACCGCCCCTCAAGGATTCGTGAAACAAACGGCGCGGGGCCAGTGCTTTGCTGCAAACCAGGCTCGGTTCCCCAACTTTGAACTTGCAAAAAATCAGGAACGGAAAGCCACCCCGCGGGAATGGCACTTAAAAACCGACCAAAACCCAAACCCGCAAAGCCCTAAACGCCCTGAAGCCGCAAAAACCTAAACCTAAACCCTAAAAACTCCCAACTGACCTGGCAAGATGATTCGGGCGGATCGCATGGATTGTTATGGCTTTGTTGGCAAATATGTTGGAGACAAAGAAGAGGGCAAAGTTCAACAGGTCTTGACCGATGTACACACATAAAGAGAGAGCGAGAGAGAGAGAGAGAGAGAGAGAGAGATAAATATATTTTGTTTGTATATATATATATACATATATATATATACATATATATATATATTTATGTATGCATCTATCCATCTATTTATGCACACCCCGCACCCCGTGAATGTGTATTTGCAGGTTGGTACCCACAGTAAACATTTCAGAGCTGTTCCCGAACCGGCCACTCCCGTGAGAGCCTTTCTGGAACGGGTCCTGAAATTGGATCAAACCTGCCTTTCCATCCCTAAGCCCCTAGTCCCGAAGAACTTTTTGACTAGACCAGCCAGGGTTGTCCTTACAGACTACCATAACGCCATAAAAGCTCTCAAAAATTCAACGGGGTTGTGGGAAACGTAAGAACTAAATGACGTCATGGTCACCATTTGGGCTTCCTGTTCGAGGCACGTCCCAACCCCGGTAGCAACGCGCCAAGTGCATTCAGCCAGGTGGCACTTGCTGGTTGGTCCGCGACCCCTTCAACCTCACATCGCTAGCTTCAAGGCAACTGCCTTGGAACTTCAGCTGAAACCGGGCTGTTGGGACATTGGGACAGTCTAACTGTCTTCCAACACCCCCCGAACAAGGTCAGTCAATTCCTTTGGATAGGGGCTGTATAGTGGTGGTGCATCTTGGGAGTTGAAACCATCTGAGAGACACGCAAGGGGGGAAAAAACAAAAGCAAGCCCAGCTGTCGAGTCAGGGCTGTTCAGAACAGTTCAAGCCGGCTTGCAAGGAGAGGCCTGACCCTGATATGCTGCCCCTTTATTCGGAACTGCTCTAGTCACTCGGTTGCGATGATCCTGCTGGTCCACTTGTAGCAGGTAGTTTGTCATGCGCAGCCCTACCTGGGGTGACAAATCCTTAAGCACACCTGAAGAACATCACATGGCATTGGCGTCGTTTTCTCTTGAGAAAGTGTTTGGAGGTGTGACTGAGGTGTCCATAAGGCCCCCTTTGTTAATAGGGTGTTAGGATGCTTTTAAACCAAGTTTAGTCAGAGTCATGACTTTCGAGTAGCCGATTGGTAGGCGTGGGCCTGATTTGGTTTCTGCTCAAAAAACGGCCGAACAAAAACCCAGAGGCCAGGGCTTGCCTCCCAATTTGACACGAGGTGTTCTCAAAGGATAGACGACTGGAGGCTCAAGATTCCACGAAATACTGCGGATGGTTGCGAAATCCGAGACCGCACCACGCTGAAACCATGGTTGAACCATGGTTTGTTGGTATTTAGGGGAATCAACATTCCAGGGTTTTCTTTTTGTGGTGCAGGATTTCGTCCATCCACAGTACCAGGCTTCCAGTCCCATAGATTCAACTTCGGGATCTGAATGACCATGATAATGTGGAGTTGCTTTTCCCGATCCGTGCAGGCTTCCTCAGTGGTATAACTCCTTATTTCTGTCCTGAGACCAACAGCTTGACCCTTCGAATGCTGGTTGCCGCGGGGCAAGATCGTGGCAGCCCAGATGTAGCCCGTGTCATCGCAAATGCCCGCCGTGGTCAGGAAGGAGCCTCGGCTTCGAAAGCTCGCCAAGCAAGAAAGATGCTGAATACAACAAAAGGAAGCACGCCAAGCAAGGCTTGGAACTTGCTTGCCGAAAAAAGGGAGAGAGGGGGTGGCACAACAAGCGTGCGAAGTGCGAATCCTTGGGTGAGAGGAGGCGTCAAAACGTCGGAATCCTTTTGGGAAAGAAAAGGGGCAAGTGTCAAAAAAAAGGGAGCCCAGGGCCCTTCTCTGAGACAAATGGAGACGGGAAACCTTCCGTGAAACTAGCCATTGAGGGGTTCCTGCCTGTTGACCCGCAACACGATGGATGCCTGACGGCCAATGAATCTATGCAGGCCCACCTCCTATAAGCCACTCGAAAGTCTTGACTAAGAACGTTTGCCAAAAAAAGGGCAACCCAAAATTGATCCATTTTGGACCACTGAGGCACTCAGCGCCTGAGCGCAGTCGCAAATCGCGCGCTGCTCGTGCCGCGCGGCAATAGCAAACCACGTAAGTGCCCGCCAAATAGAACTCGAAGGTCTGGTCGTTCTCAATGCCTGTGGCCCAAGGAACCGGGACTCAAGTTCAAGCTCAGTTGGACATGGGCCCTGTGGACGTCAAATTTGCATGGCGGTTCTCCACCACCCGTCTGTTCTGATGGGAGGTGCATCCAAGGATGAAGGGTTCTGGGACAGGCTCAATCCAAGGCTCACTGTGTCTAACGGGGGATCCCAAAATGGGCCTTCGTTTCCCTGCGGTTTCGCGTTGAGACACCCCGAGAAGACAAGGCACCAGGGGGAAAAAAATCAGGACTGCACACCCACTTGCACCAAAAGGAAGGGGGGTTTTGAAAAAACAAAAGGATCATCTTCGGGGCGCACTGGTTGCAAGAGACCCTTGCATGGCAGTGGAATCGACGATCCCAGCATAGCAGACTCGATGATTCCTTGGATGCGGAAGCTGGCATTCCGCCCATTTTGAGGCCTCTCTTTAACTTGGCTGGAATTAGGACCCAGCGAAACATGATATTTCTTGCATGGTAGCGGAAAACAAAGGGACCCCCCAAAAAGCAAAAAAATCGAAAAGGGGAGCTATTTCTGGGGAAGTCAAAGGGTACTGGGCACTGGGGGCGCCCCAAGGGCCAGACCAAAACCGAAGCGAGCCGAAGCGAGCCGAAGCGAGCCGAGGCGAGCCGACGAAACGCATCGATTTTTCGCCTGTGAAGGGCAGGTACTGGGATGCCTCAGGGCTGGGCAAGAATTGTTGAAGCCACTGGCCCGAATGTTACACATTGGTGGTCATATCGTTCCCCTTAAACAACGCCCTGCAAAAACGAAGCTCGCTTGGAATGGACCCCAGACGATGCCTAATTCAGCCAACATTTTGGTTTTTGATGTTGGGGGGATTCTCAAAATGGTGGACCCCTTGTGGTCTGAAAGGGAAACCAAAAGAGCACCGCCATGGCTTGGCAAAGCAAAAATCCAAACTTGCTGTTGGCCCCTTTTAATGGCCTTCCCAGAAAGTGACTAAAGTCCAGCACCTCTGTGTGCGGGGTATCTCTGGCCCATAAAGTCCAGGAACTCCTTTTGGAGACACATGCAGTGAGCTGAGGGGGCTTCCCCTTTTGCGAGCACTAAAGGATAAGGATCTGGAAGCTACCACTAAACCAACCAAAACCAACTAAAAACCTACAAACATCCTAAGGGCTTCGACGCATTTGGCCGGCCGCCCGCGACGCCCCCGACCCGTGACGCCTCGGGCCCCACCCACGCGGCGAACTGGGCGGAGACATCCTCCGTGGCGGGGCCGTTCACCGTGCCGGCGCTGGTGGCGTTCACGGCGCACGCCGTCTCGGGAGCGAGCCGGCGATCGAGCCGGCGGGGGGGCTTGGGAGTGATGGGACGGAAATGGGAAATGGGGGGGGGTCTCTCGAAATAGGGGGCCCCCTTGTTGGATGGGGTTTTAAAGGAACCAACAAGAAATCACATGCCAGAGGGGTTCTGGAAGTAAAATCTCGCTCTCTGCCGTTGCGTCCAAGGGGGTCTTGACTCAGCAAGGCAACGAAAAAGGTGCCCACTGATATTCAGGGGCACCCAAAACATGCCATGTCAGGCTGTCGGAAGGCGGTTCTCAAAATAGGGTACCCCTTTTTCACCAGGCCACCAACATGCCTGGAGGGGTACCCAAACTTTGAGAAACACGCAAATGAAAGACGCACACTTCTTCGATGTTGGGCGAAACAAATGTCAGTTAAAAAGGAAGAGTTGTGACACGGTTGCAAAGCCGGCAATTGCATAGACAGTTGAGAAGCAAAACTTCCCCATCCCCAATCCTGACACCCAAAAACTGAGCGTGTCTTGAACAAATTGACGAACAAATACCTCGAGGGGTACCCTCCAAAGGAAGCCACGCTCGCTTGCAACCAAGGGGGGTCCTTTGTTCAAAGGCAGTCACCCTTTCAGATTCCTTGCCCAAGTCTGCGAAAACCAGCTTGCGGCTTCGTTGGAGAGCCACATCGTCGCATCCCAAAGCTGCCAGCTGAGTGGCATCCAGACCCCGGCGCCCCAGCGCCGTGTCCTCACGGATTGCGGTTTGTGTCTTTGTTGTTGTTTTTTTTCTTTTTTTCTGGGCGACGGGAAATCATAGCTGGGTGCATCTGATTTTAGGGGACATCCCAAAAAGATGGCGCTCGATTTTGGCTTCCCTTTCCAGCTACCCCGAAAAGGGTACTCTCAGAAAGGGACAGAAACGCATGAGCAGCGCCCCCAAGGTGGTGGAATCACCTATTGAACTGGCCACTTTCTGGGTGTTGGGCAATGTTCACATGAGTTGGTCTCTGGATGGAAAGCGTCTATTTCATGCCCTGGCTAGATCCATTTACTGTTGGGTTCCAATGAAAATGCCCACGGTTGAAGGGCCGAAAAGCGGAAATGTTTGGCAAAGTTCGGGCTTCACAGCCGAAACCACGTTTTTGAAGGGCAAACCATACAGGGTTTGTCTCAAAATGGGGTATGGACCCCTACCATAGGACCCCCCGGCAAATTCCTTGGCCTCGTTGGCTCCTCCGCCATTTGTTTTTCTCCAACCAGAACTCGGGACACTGCTCCGCAGGAACTGTTTTTCGTCCTCGCCCAAAAAAAGGCGAGGATATGGTGGCACCGTTTGTGTTTGACCATAAACAACGACTCCAAACTCGCTGCCAACTCCCTACATTCAACCTTTCGTTGGTACAAAAGAGCAGCCCATCCTTTTCTTGGCACTTCCACACACACCCAAGCATTTGTCCAACAAGGTAGTCTGCCAAAAGAGCTCCCGAATTTCTCTCAGGCGACAAGCATGCATTTGTCCAACACGGTCGCGTCCTAGGACAAACTTGGAGGGGGCCCAAGTCTTGAAAGGCATCTCGCTTTTCGAAAGGGCTGACAAAAAACACGCATTGCTGCTTGTCTGCCGCGATTAAACCAAGTCCAGGAGTCCAGCACTCTTGCGGCGTGACCATGGCAACCCAAAGTCCATGAAATCAGAGCGCTACCCGCTGCCCGACGGGGAAGATATTGGGAGACCCCTTCTTGGCATTCAAAGGGAGGGCAGAGGTGTTGTGCTTTTGGCAAATTCCTGGCGCTGGTTTGTCGCATCCCCAGCACCACCGGCGTCACTTGGCCCTAGGGCTGCCTATCAACTCTGATTCGGTGGCAGTTAGGAGTTGCCCGGGGCTGGTTCAATTAGGGGTGGAAGGAGGCTGGCTTAGATCTTGCTGAGGGCGGGTCTCGGGCTGGTTTGGGGTTCAGGCTCAACACAGGGTTGACATCCGGGCTGCTGCTGGGCGGGGTCAATACGTAGTTTAAGGTTGACTTTGGGTGGGTTTGGGGTTTGGCTTGGAGCTGATTTGTGGGGCTGATTTGTGTTGGCTGTGCTGCTAGTGTAGCGGTGGCTTTAGGTCTGCTTTGGGCTGGTTTAGGATTGGTTTTGGCTCTAAGGTCTAAGTGAGGCGGGTGATGCCCGGGATGCGGCCAACCAACCCACCGACCGACCGTCCGACCGACCAACCAGCCAGACCTAAGAAAACGCCAGTCCTGCAAGAAAAAACACCTCATCCTTCAAAGGAAGGGAGACCCCCCAAACAAAAACGGACAACATTGACATCACAAAGGCAGCTGGCAGGAGTTCCGTTGAAAAACGTGCCTGGTGGAACCCATGGAACTGGAATGTGGGGTAAAGATCGGCCGTCCTCCCGGTTCAGGTTGAGATACTCCTCCAGCGTGACTTTGGCACCTCGGCACATCAAGCCCCCTCGGCTCCTGTGGCTGCGTGCGCCGTTTAGGAACGACAATAACCTTTCCCTTTGACTGAATCAACAGCACACAATCTAGGAACTCCTTGAGAAATGCAAGGCTCTCCGTAGCGGCGTTCTATATTTGTTTTCTGCGTAACATGGTGGGAAGTTTGTCCCACTGTTCCAAAAGTTCCCGCCCCAACAACTGCCAAAATGAACCTCAGCAAGTGATCTGATCAAAAAGCGACCACCCCCTACTTTTCATGCGCCGCATCTTTGAAAGGCGACAAATCAGCCGAGAATCCATCACAGCCCAACTGATCATCTTTGAGATTCGGGACCTTTTGCTAAAAGAAGCATGCTCGCATCTTACTCAAACCCCACCAATCGGAACCTCAGCAAGTGATCAACATCAAAAACCGGCCACCCTCCGTTGGTTACCCTCAAGGAAGACCCCTGCCACAAACCCTGGCACAGTGCACCACACCCTGAGTGCCGAGGTGCCGGATGACGCGGCCGTGTACTCAGCGGCACTGTCAAATGAGAGGATCTTCCTGGGAAGCCGACTGCAAGAGTGTCTCTAGGTCCTCCAGTTGAGAGGGTTAGAATATGTTGGTACCTGATTTTGTTCCATAGTCTATTTTAGTAGGGGAACCCTCCACCAAAAAAGGGTGAAAGGGCACTACTGCGGGATCTAGGTCTGGTCCCAAGGCAGAATGAAGGGAAGCCGCATGGCCGCAAAAGGCTTTGAAAGGCTAAGCTGTTTGTTTGGCAATGCTTCGTGGAGGATAACTCTCCACAAGGCAGACATGAAACCTGAAAGGGCCCGCTTAAAAATATATAAAAGGATTGTTCTTGCAGGAGAAAACTTTGCTGGCCAAAAATGGAAATAATAGCCTCCCCCAAACTAACACCAGAAAACAAGAAAGCAACAAAACAAGAAAACCACAACGACCACAACGGCCACAACAGCAACAGCAACAGCAACGGCAACGGCAACGGCAACGGCAACGGCAACGGCAACGGCAACAGCAACGGCAACGGCAACGGCAACGGCAACGGCAACGGCAACGGCAACGGCAACAACAACAACAACAACAACAACAACAACAACAACAACAACAACAACACCAACAACACCCACAACACCAACAACAACAACAACAACAACAACAACAACAACAACAAGACGACGACGACGACGACGACGACGACGACGACGACGACGACGACGACAACAACAACACAACAACAACAACAACCACACCAACAGCAGCAGCAGCAACAACAACAACAACAACAACAACAACAACAACAACAACAACAACAACACCACCACCAACAACACCAACACCACCAACACCACCAACAACACCAACAACACCAACAACGCCAACAACAACAACAACAACATCAACCAACAACAACCAATAACAACAACAACAACAACAACAACAACAACAACAACAACAACAACAACAACAACAACAACAACAACAACAACAACAACAACAACAACAACAACAACAACAACAACAACAACAACAACAACAACAACAACCAACAACAACAACAACAACAACAACAACAACAACAACAACAACAACAACAACAACAACAACAACAACAACAACAACAACAACAACAACAACAACAACAACAACAACAACAACAACAACAACAACAACAACAACAACAACAACAACAACAACAACAACAACAACAACAACAACAACAACAAGAACAACAAGAACAACAAGAACAAGAACAAGAACAACAACAACAACAACAACAACAACAACAACAACAACAACAACAACAACAACAACAACAACAACAACAACAACAACAACAACAACAACACAACCCACAACAACAACCCACAACCCACAACCCACACCCACAACCCACAACCCACAACCCACAACCCACAACCCACAACCCACAACCCACAACCCCACCCACAACCCACAACCCACAACCCACAACCCACAACCCACAACCAACAACCAACAACCAACAACCAACAACCAACAACCAACAACCAACAACCAACAACCAACAACAACAACAACCAAAACAACCAACAACCAACAACCAACAGCCAACAGCCAGCCAACAACAGCCAACAGCCAACAGCCAACAGCCAACAGCCAACAAAACAGCCACAGCCAGCCAACAGCCAACAGCCAACAGCCAACAGCCAACAGCCAACAGCCAACAGCCACAGCCAACAGCCAACAGCCAACAGCCAACAGCCAACAGCCAACAGCCAACAGCCAACAGCCAACAGCCAACAGCCAACAGCCACAGCCAACAGCCAACAGCCAACAGCCAACAGCCAACAGCCAACAGCCAACAGCCAACAGCCAACAGCCAACAGCCAACAGCCAACAGCCAACAGCCAACAGCCAACAGCCAACAGCCAACAGCCAACAGCCAACAGCCAACAGCCAACAGCCAACAGCCAACAGCCAACAGCCAACAGCCAACAGCCAACAGCCAACAGCCAACAGCCAACAGCCAACAGCCAACAGCCAACAGACCAACAACCAACAACCAACAACCAACAACCAACAACCAACAACCAACAACCAACAACCAACAACCAACAACCAACAACCAACAACCAACAACCAACAACCAACAACCAACAACCAACAACCAACAACCAACAACCAACAACCAACAACCAACAACCAACAACCAACAACCAACAACCAACAACCAACAACCAACAACCAACAACCAACAACCAACAACCAACAACCAACAACCAACAACCAACAACCAACAACCAACAACCAACAACCAACAACAACAACAAACAACAACCAACAACAACAACAACAACAACAACAACAACAACAACAACAACAACAACAACAACAACAACAACAACAACAACAACAACAACAACAACAACAACAACAACAACAACAACAACAACAACAACAACAACAACAACAACAACAACAACAACAACAACAACAACAACAACAACATCTTGAGCTAAACCTGGCAATGCTTCATGATGGACTTGCGGCGCCAGGGGATGCTGTCGTAGGGGTGCATGCCTCGCGCCGCTCAAACTATCCCCGCCGAAGAGGGAAAACGGCCCCTCCCCAGGAAACGGAACCCCCCAAAAAGGGAGACGGGCTCCGGATGTCCAACGTGGGCGGGAAAGTACATGACTTTAAAGTACATGATTTTTGCTCAACCATCCTCACGCAGGTTTCCCGAAATCCAGTCATTGACCCCCACCACTCACCGCGAAGCAGCTCCGTTTGCGTTTGCTTTGCATGGAGCACAGAAAACCGGGGGAAAACACAGCAAGCAGCAGACGGGAAGGCCACCAAATCGCCCTCAATCATCTTCAAGGTGGGCTCAGGCTAGAACGCCCTGTCCTCTACCTTCCTTGGCCACAAGCACCTCTTTTCTGATCTTTCCCGGCATCTCTGGACAACAACTGTTTAGCCACCATTTGGGGGTGGGGGTCCGTATTTTAAGACACACCCGTGTCGTCTTTCCACACCAACATGTCAATATGCTTTCCTAACTAATCCACACAAGAATCCAAGACCCCGTCCCCTTCAGATTACGATGACACGAACCCCAAACTGGCGCGAATCCCATGAGAAACCCCCGCGTGACCAGCGCTCGAGCGGGGCCCTTCTCGCCTTCAGAGATGTTGGAGCGGATCCCTGCAAAGAGCCTCGCTCCAATCCAAATCCGCAGGCTCGTGGCTGGTTCCCCTTAGTCCTCAAAAGAGTGCCAGCAAAAAACAAACAGATGTGCATCTATGTATAGATATACATAGGTATATTTGCAGATATGTACATTCATTTCGCCGGGGATCAATCCGGGAACCACACCAACAGGCCCAACACCGCTTCACAAAACGCGATCCCTTAACTCTGCCTCAGCCCCCCCAACCCGAGGTGCCGGTGTTGAAGGGGTCCACCTTTTTCCCCCCAAAGGGGAGGGGGGTCAAAAGCCGAACCTCAGGGCTCGTCTCAAAGAGGGGAGAAAGACGTGACTCGAAGTATCCTGCTTGGAATCACGCTTGCCAGCAACGCCCATTTTTGGAGGAAGATGATCCGTTGAGGATCCTGATGGACACCCAACCTGACTCAAATCGGAAGTGGCCATCCAAACCTGAACTCCGTGTTCCTGTATGCCACGCAAACCACGGAAGGAGTGATACCATGTGATGACATTCGCTGATTGTGTCTCGACACTCTGGTTTGTAGTGGCCGCCAGTGGCTATTTCTGCGAGGAAAGCGAGGCCTTTTGGCCTCACCCGCTGGCTTGAATTGTTTGCTCCAAAGGTCCCTTCTGGCCTGTCCTTGACCCCCTGATCTCAATGGCTCACTTGCCGGCCTGGAAGTCAAATGTCAGCTTTGGGACTTTGACTGCCGGCTCCACGAAAGGCGTTAGTGGGTCCCCCAATGTAATTGTGTGAACCCCGCAACATGCAACAGCTTGAAACAAACCAATGCAAGTAGACCAAAACTGAAAAATGCTTCACGCTTCGCCCTTGCGGGGACCATCTTTGAACAGGACACCAACCTGGTGCAAGCAACTAGGTCAAGGACCACAAGCACGAAGCTGAAGCAGAACAGAACATGAGAAAACGGAAATGACAACAAACATTCAACAAACACCAACGCAACAAACAAACAAACAAAACGCAACAAACACATTCGCACATTGGATAACCCCCCCCCCAAAAAAAAAAAACGCTAATGCGTGGGGCGAGGGGGGGGGGCCCGTTGAACCTATCAAGACTTGAAATCCTCATCGTAGGCCAGGCGGCGTGATACCTCCTGGCTTGCCCGGATACTCCACCGTCTCGATGGGCTGAATCAACTGAAACTGCGACCCCGGCTTGGACCATCTGCCAGGGACGAAAGCCGCGTGGCTCCATCAAGCCGAGGGAACGAGATCTATGACTTCCCAACTTTTCAGCCGAAAGGACCCAGAACAAAGGTGATCGATCCCCTTTTTGGGGCGAACGAAGCACAAAAAAAAGGAAAACCAAAAGGTCAAAAGGTCGGCTTCGGTCAACCGAGATTGGGTTTTCCTACCTCCCAAACTTGGGCGCGCACCCGTTCAAGTGGAAAATCAGTTTGAGGGCTTCTCGAAATTACTTTGGAGGGAGATCCCCTGTAAACCATTTAGAGCATAATGTTGAGGATATCACTTGAATGGACCCGGTTGCAACCCGTCAGCCCCCAACCTTTCGCCTTCTTCGAGCTTTCCTAAGCCAAACATAAAGGACGCTATCTGAACCAAACAAAGGGCTCGGAACCTGTTTTCAAGTCCCAAAGGATTGGATTCACGTCCGAAGTCCGAACCTTCCGCATCCGACCTGCAAGTCTGCAATTCAAGTCATGTGGATATGTGATTACCCCAAGAAGAACTTGGCTGAACTGAAGGCCCGAAATTGGAAAGTCATTGCCATATAACTCGATCTGCAAATTATAAGGTTGCGCTTAAGGAAGGCCAACGTGTTTTTTTAACAAGGTCTGAAAAAGAGACACCTGACTCAGGCTGTTCAACATGGTTCCACGGGTCCATGTCAGTTGCAAAAAAATAAACACAACATTGGGAGATCCAAAGAAAGAAGGGAAGGATTTTGAGGATTCCCGAAAGCGAAAGGCAATAGATGGGTCAAATAAGCATGTTGGGTTGGAACAACCGGGCCTTTTCTTGCAGAGTGCCGGGAAGGGACTCGCGCAACAAAGGTTTACAGGGCTTTTCCGACATGCCCAAAAGGAAATCAGCTGCAAATGAGGATGTCTCAACGGAAGGAAGCCCCATCTCACTTCCTGAGTGAATTGGCAAAACAGTCGCCAAACTTGTAGCTTGCACAAAAAGTCCATGAGCTCACCAGGAATCAAATCAAACCTTGAAATCCCAGGCATACCCTGTTCCTTCTGGCCTTGGCCGGGCCCGTTTGAAATGGACCCCCCACTGGCAAAACAAACAAGCAAACAGACATCAACAAAAAAAAAAAAAAACAGTTCCCATCCCTGCAAAACACAACAAATGCAACTTGTGCCGGCTGCTACCCGGAAACTTCCAAAAAAGGCCCGCCAAACAAATGCATGCTCCTCTTTCCAGGCAAGTTTAGCTTTTTACTTTTTGCCGATTGAAATGGACAGTGATGGTTCAAGCCAGAAATAGATAAGCCTTTGGTCAGCTAATTCTGCGAATTCAACATCTCCCGCCTGGCGACTCCTGCGCTGTCGGCCATTCGGATCTCCCCCACCTCAAAGAAGTTCTGGAAGTTGTGGCCTCACGGCGTGCTTGGCGTGTTTGGCGGTCTGAAGTCCGCTTAGGGCAATGATCGGGGTTGGATTCCTATATTTTCTCTGCCGTTAAACAACGCTTTTTGATGCCGTTTGGTTGCCAATGTAAAGTGGGGATCTTATTTTGGGGTGATAAAGACATACGAGGGGAGCTGTGAGAGGGAGGGAGGTGCGTGGATTTGCAAATGAAATTGTAGGGGTCACCCCTCCCCCAAGTCCATTGTAAAACAGGCGGGCTCGTCAGGCGCCACTTGTCAACTTGGCAGCGCGATGCTCTTGCAGTGGCACCAAAAAATGGGGCACAAACAAGCATTTGGGAATAGCATAAGTTTGTTTGGAAGCAACTCGCGCAGGCCAACTGACAGGTCGATTTCCGACACAAAATAGCGAAGGCACATGCCACGTCGCAGTAGCAGACCACGACTCGCTCACTCATGGGCAGCTTTCCTCAAATTCGGCAGTGTGTGCCAAGGGACGTGTATAAAGTGTAGCAGCTCAAGTCTCCAACCGGTGAAGCGACATAAGAAGGAAGTTACTTTTCAAGTGTCCAAAAAGGGCCTCATCGCCCCACTTATCCTGTTGGGGGGCTCGCCGTGGGCAAAAGCAAGATAGCATGAGGTCAGCACCCAATGCCAAAAGCGGCCTCGTCTGAGGTCGGTCTTGGCTGCGGGCCAAGCCAGGCTCTCGCTGACGGCACAGAATCCAACCAAAAACTGGGCCGATTGTCTTGACTGTTTTTGGAGATTATCAAAGTCAGAAACTGAGGTTGCTTCCCTTCAACCTACCACTTGGGGGGGGGACTTTGAGAATTATAAAATCATGAGCCAGAACAAGGTGTCTTAGTTGTGAGCAAGGGCTGAGGTAAACACCTTCAAATCATGAGTTGCCGGGCGGAACCAATAGCTCAAACTCTGTATTGGGGCAACGCGCTCAAGACCTGCGGGGCCCTTGTGTCCTCTTGATTTGTGCGGGTTTCCCTTCAACATCCTCATCCTTCTTCTGGCCTGGTTGTTGCCCAAAGCTTCTTCCCAGGGTCCCAGGCATTGTCTTCAGACAGTGGCGCAACGCAAGGGACTGTTTTTCTCTCAAAAAACGATGGGTGAAAAGATGGCTACCAAGGCGCCGATGAGATTCGGCGTCTCCCAGAACTTGTAATCTCGATTCGTGCCTGGCGAGACAAAACACCTGAGCCCGAACTTCTCGGCTTTGCCGGTTTCACCACATTGACAACCACAGCGGGGAGTCGAAGACGATTCCTCACGACCGACTTCTAATAGTGCGCTTCTGGAGCTCAGTCGAGTTGGGCTAAAGCTGGCTGGCTTACGGCGGTTCGAAAATGTTCGAAATACGAGCATGTTGGGAGTTTCAGGATCACGCTTACCCGCAGCTAAATCTGGCTGCGACTGCCTTACTCTCTTCCTAATGTTCGTCGATTCGTCCACCCAAATTTGTGGGAGTGCCCTCCCAAAACTGTAGCCCACCGTGTTCTTGTCTTGCTGGCCGCAAAAGGAAAGCCGGTTTTTGGCGCCTCCGGAACGATAGGCCGCCTCATCCAGGGGGTTGCCGTCCTCGTCCACGCTGGGGTGGAAGATCATATGACTGGTCTCCTTTGTAGGTCTCAAGCGAGGGGGTCCCGACCCAAGCCATGCAAATGAACATTTATATGCATTATATGCTGTTTGGTTTGATCCTCGTTTCCCTTCAAAGCCATCAAACATGCGGTTGCCCCGTTTGAAGTAAGACAAACCTACATACCGGGACAAACTTAGACCCCTTGCAAAAAGTTAATATGTTGCTTTGGGGGCTGAAGACAAGGCGAGAACAGTAACTTAAGTCCGGCAATGCATATGAATAAAGCTTTACCTTGGGGTACCAAACTTTGTACCTTGTATTGCGCACTTATGGGTGTCGTCATGTTCCTTGATATCAGTCAGCATTTCGGTTCTGTTCCAACGGAATTTGAATCAGGTTTTGTACCGCATTCTCTGAGGGCCATGCTTGTCCTGCGAACGAGACCCCCACCCCTGGCCAGGTTATGCCCCGTCATTTTGAAAGGACCGGCAAGCTGAGTTCAATCGCGGGGTTTCTCCCAACCTCAAGTACGTCAGCCAAAATCAGCCCCCGCAGAAATGAAGAAGAACTTGAAAGCAAGAAACAAATAAACCATCAAGCAAACGAGCAAGAAAGCAAACCAAAAAGCAAGCAAAGAAACAAAGAAGCGAAAACACGCTGACAGACCCCAAATCCAACAGAGCCACCACAAGATCCAGCAACTACAGAAACATGAGCCTTAAACAGTGAAGAAAACAAGAGCACTACAAAAAACAGCCAAGTGAAAAGGTTCGGCGCAAGTAGATCGCACTTGGACCTACCAAAAGATCCCTAAAAACACGAAGACGGAACCCCCTTGGAAAAAGAGGGTCATAGGCCCAAGTGCCCCTGCATGTGTCGGGTTGATTGATCTCCCGTTCCTTAAGCGGCAACCATCAGGGCGATGCCTTGAAGCGCCGCTGAAGCTTCCCTGAAAGTTCCCTGCGATTTCTGCGTAACGGAGCAATTTTGGCTTTCGTCCCCTGAAAATTCTCCACTTTTTTTGCTGACCTTTACATAGGCACAGCTGCTATCCCCACCAAGGGCTTAGGCAACCCACACAGCTCAAGCAGACGCTTGGCTCTCCAGCCGCGGCAAGCGCAAAGTGCGCAGCGCCAAGGCGCCGCGTCGCCGCTGCGGCACCGGGACCCGATGTCCCAGATCGGGATCTGCTCCGAAGACTCGCCCAGCGAGCAGAGCGGGCAGAAGCCCGGCAAGAACTTCACGCGGTTCCTGAGCCAAACAGCTCCTTCCCAGATCTGCTAAAAGCTTAATCTCAGTGGTTCAGTGGAAACTACCACTGAACCCTAAGAACCTGAAAACCTGAAAACCTGAAAGGATGGCTGGGAGCCACCAAGGTGTTGATTGATCCATCACACGTAAGCCTTTCTGCTTGCGCAGTTGGGCCCTTGAGTCACGCGATCCGAGCAAACTACTGTGCGGATTTGGAACAAGGAACCCCTGAGGTCTTTGAAATTTGACAAAAAGGCGAGCCCCTCCAGCCACTGAAAGCAGAAAGGCAGCCCGTGCTGTCTATGGCGATTTGCAGTCGTGCTGGCACGGTCGTGCTGGTGTCTGGGCGTGCGGAAGGCGTGCTTTTGGGACTTGTTTCCGTTTGTTGTTTGTAGCTGCCATGGTTTGCCGCTTTCTGCGTCTCTGCCCGGCCATTGCGGCACATCCAGAAATACTGGATGCTCTTCTTTGGTGTTTGGGGGTTGCGGGGCAGCGCCCCTCCCTGCTTGCTCCACCCTGCCGAAATGGGGAGGTGATGCGATTTAGCGGGCAGTAGCCCTTTAGGACCTCTTGCCAGGGTGCGTCCCCTCCAGGCTGCTGCTAGACATCTGGGATGGGGGTGAGCAAAGGTGGTTTTGCGTGCTGCTTGCTTCTGCTTTTTGCATGGGCAACCACAGAAAACATGGGTGAATAATTTCAACCTGCAAATTGATATTTTAAGTGGAATTCAGAAGTCCAGGGGCTTTAACACATTTTGAGCTCGTATTGCCCCCAGGTTGGCTTGGCATAATTAGTGCAGTTGTGCGGTTGAGAGACCACGCCAAGAGGAGACCCATAAACCGTTGGCTCCTATATTCCGCAGAAATGCATTGATACACCTGTGGCAGCCATGTCCGTAAGCGGTATGAGTTTTGCCTCATGATGCATGGAACCCCTCAAAATCAGTAGTGACCCATTGGCTTCCCATCAAACACACACACACACACAACGCAACTTGCAACTTGCAGCCAAAGGATCTGGCAAGTAAGACCCTTTCTCTGAGAGAAGGCCAGGGGCTAAGCCCAGGAGCCAAAAAGCACTGACCTTGAGGAGTTGGGTGAAATCGCCTCTTTCATTTGGCTACATGAATTTGTAGTCGTCTCGCCGAGGGTCTCAGCGCTGCCGGTACAGGCATCGCCACCAGGAGGGCACTGCAGGCGCAAGGAGAAGGGCTGCTGGGGCAAGACGCGCATGAAGGGCGCTGCCGCCTGCGGACCTCAATCCAAGATCTGCGTGCCCCGCAGAGATGCCACACCAAACAATTTCAAAACCTGGAAGAAGGATACCACACCAAGACATTCCCCCGAACCACTTGGAGAGGATTGCCCGAAACATGTCGGGCAAGGCTCTAGAGTGAAAGGGACATGCGCCTCAAGGACCTTGGCAAAATTATAGGGCTCATAATCAGAGAGAAGGAATCTGATGAGCTCTGCAACAATTTACCCAAATACTATGACACAAAGTGTGGGCTGTCTCGAAATGGGGGCACGCCCTTTGGGCGGTTGTGTTTCAGCTTGCCTGCACATGAGAAATACACTTGCCTGCGGTGAGCTTGCCACAAGTTCCAGGCCAGAATCCCCAATCTCAAGGGGCTGCAAAAGGATCAAGGCTGGTCGACATCCAACTCCTGGCCTCAATCAACCCCGATTCAACCAGGCCCACCCCTTGCAAGCCAAACAGGCCCTGGACGAACCGTAAAACCGTACCCTAAGGGCCGAGGACGCTGTGGATCTTTTCCAGTTCGGGCAAGGCTCCGCAGGAGGCGGTGTTTCCAGCATCACCTCAGCTCAGACCAAGTCGATCCCGTGCGCGAGGAATTCGCCCAGCTTTGGTTTCGGGATTGGGCCGACAAGGACTGGCTTTCAGATGGGGGTTGGCCTTTTGAGTTTTGGCCTTTTTGGTTTTGGCTGTTGGGTTTTGGCCTAAGGAAAAGCCCGAGAAAAAAAAAAAAAAAAAAACGGGGCTCCTAGCAACCATTCTAGGCGCTTATCATTCGCTCCATTCTTTCGTAGGTGGTGTCCTTTTGAGGCTCACCTTTATCAGTAAGCCTGGCAAGCAAAGAAGGGACTGAACGCCCGGGCCCCCCTTTGCTTGCAAACAACATCCCAATCCAAAGCACCACTTGGGGTTTGTCGCTTTGCGGCCAAATCGGCGCTTGTGCTTGGTCGCTTGGTGGCCTGGAAACTGAACGCATTGGCAATTACCCAAGGCACCGAAGGCGAACAGAAACGAAGCAAGAACTAAGATCACCGCACTCCCCAGTAAGATGAAGAGACTCCCAGCTGGGGAGAGCATTGAAACGCAAAAATGAGTATTGGTTCATGTTATTATCATGTGTGTTCTCGTTTTATGTTCATTCGGGTGTTCATGTTGTTTTCATGTGTCGAGGACATGTTATGCTTTCCAGTCCCAAAATGGAGGAACGCCAGCAAAATGAAAATAGCATAAAACACACATGAACATAACATGGAAAACAAATCGTTTGTTTTTTTGCATTTTGTGTTTTCCTGGGTCCCAGAATGGAGGAACATCAGCAAAATGAACATGACATGAAAACGCAAGTGAAAATGAATAATGAGAACATAATTGTTTTCCCCACCCCAAGACTGTGGCCATAAACATGTTTTAATGTGAAAATAAAAAGCCACAAGGGCAATTCTTGCGAGACATGCAAAACAAAAAACAAAACAACAACAAAAAACGTGACAAGTACAACGGGCCAGCCATTAGCCATTTGTAACGAACAGTGGGGAGCGCTTTCAAGATCCGGTCGAGCCACAAATCCGCAGCAGCCAGTAGTAAATGACGCCAATGGGTTGAATATATTCCGATGCCTCGGCCACCGGTTCCGAACTTGTGATGTCAGATGCGTCTCAGTGTTCCCCTGCCATCCACCCCACAAGGAGAAGCCCGCTGTTCCATGGAACGTTGCCGACGTATTCCAACACGCGGCAAGCTCCTTGAAGGGCTTTTGTGAGGAACAAGAAAGCCCCTTTCATGATGTGGCCTGCAAATGGGAGAAAAAAACGCGATTTGCATTCTTTTTCTACCCCTATTTATTGGACCTTGATTCGAGCCGGGCTCAACATTACATCTGAGCGGCAGTCAATATGAATATTATGAATTGCTTTCCCCGATTTTCATGGCGAAGACCCCGAATTGTTCAGTTGCAATTTGGTGAGTGAACCCAATGTTACACATGAGCTGATGGTGAGCAGTGCCTGTTGCTCGCCATCAGGGGCATCTACCCCACTTGGTTGAGCCCTTAGTCCGAAAGCGGCAAAATGCCCCGAAACTGAACAGGACCCCAATCCAACGCCTGAAGCGAATAGGCGTGAAGTTTTCATAAGAACCCCTCGGGCTTGGCCTCTTCCAATTTCAGGCAACCCGTCAGGTTGGTGGTTTGGATTGGTTTGGATTTGGATTTGAACCCCTGGCTCTTGTGAGTAAACGGGAAACCCTTCCTTAGCCACCAAAACACCAGTTAGACGGAAGCTGACAATTGGTGGTTTGGGGTTTTTGCTCTCACGGGGTGGCCCAGCTAACCAAAGGACATACACCTTGGTTGCTTTCAAATGCTCTGATTCTTGTCTTTTGCAAAAGTCGAGAGCCACCGAAGAGCATTGGTTGAAAATTGTGACTCCCCGCTCAGGGCATTGGTCTCAAGCCGGCGGAAGGGCATTTCCCCGTGGTATACTAGATGGATGTAGTAGAGCTTAGAATAAGGGTACCAACTTTTTTTCTGCAGTCTATTTGAGTAGGGGAACCCTCCCCCAAAAAGGGTAAAAGGGCACTAGTATATGGTGCTATTCTCCCCTCTTGGCGGGATTCTGGTGGTAGGGTCCTTGAGGCATCGGCGTGGTCGCAGGGCTCCACCGTAGGGTCCTGTGACAGGCTTGGTCGTGATTCAACCCCTCTCCCGTGGTTTAAAACGTCAAAACGGCCACCAATTTGTGACAAAAACGACGACCTCCTATCCTCTCACTTGCCCAAAGGATCCATTAAAAGGTCGGCTTTGGGCAACTGAATTCTTGGCTTCCGCTTATGATTCTCATGTTGTTTATATGCTTAACTTGTTTGAGCTAGTGTTGGAACAACCTCCGTCCGGTTTGCGCAAGGGGTTGCTTCTTCAAGCAACCTTTCAAGGAACCCTTGAAATCACAGGGGCGTCCTTCCGGCATTTCTTCAAACGGCTGGCTAAGTTCAGTGGCACCCATAAGATCCCTGGTTGATGCTTTATTCTTAGTAGATCTCTAAAAATGGGACCAACCAAACAAAGCAACCACCAACCAACCAAGCAAGCAAGCAAGCAAGAAACCAACCAAGCAACCAACCAACCAAGCAACCAAACAAACAACCAACTAACCAAGCAAGCAACCAAACAACCAAGCAACCAAGCAACCAAACAAACAACCAACTAACCAAACAAGCAACCAACCAACCAACCAACCCAGCAACCAAGCAACCAAGCACCAAGCAACCAAACAAACAACCAACCAACCAACCAACCAACCAACCAACCAAGCAAGCAAGCAAGCAAGAAACCAACCAAGCAACCAAACAAACAACCAACCAAGCAACCAAGCAAACAACCAACTAACAAAGCAACCAAGCAACCAAGCAACCAAGCAACCAACCAACCAACCAAGCAACCAAACAAACAACCAACTAACCAAGCAACCAAGCAACCAACCAACCAAGCAACCAAACAAACAACCAACTAACCAAGCAAACAACCAACCAACCAACCAAGCAACCAAACAAACAAACAAACAAACAACCAAGCAACCAAACAATCAACGAACCAAGCAAGCAAGCAACCAACCAAGCAACCAACCAACCAACCAAACAAACAACCAACCAAGCAACCAAACAAACAACCAACTAACCAAGCAACCAAGCAACCAAGCAACCAAACAAACAACCAACTAACCAAGCAAGCAAGCAAGCAACCAAGCAAACCAACCAACCAACCAAAAAACAACAAACCAAGCAACCAAACAAACAAACAAACAAACAAACAAACAAACAAACAAACAAACAACCAAGCAACCAAATAATCAACGAACCAAGCAAGCAAGCAAGCAACCAACCAAGCAAGCAACCAAACAAACCAACCAAACTCATGGAATGAAGCCCGGCTCCACCCCTCCTGTGGTCCGTCGTAGTTGGGGCAGTAGCAGGCCGTCAAGCTGTAGCTCCCCGTAGCGCTCGAGGGCTTCAGTGCTGGCATGTCCATGGCCTGCGCGAGCGTTTTGACCCATGGCCATATGAGCCAGGCTTCTAGGACACACTTCTAGGAGACACTTCCCCATTCCAGGGATCCGGATCTTTCCAGAAAACAATCAGAACCCCAGGGGAAACGGCTGGTTTTTGAAAAGAACGACGGTTGCAAAGAACGGGTCCTTTTGGCCGTTTGACCCCTGTTTGGGGCTATGGCGTGCCTCCAGGAGTAAGCTTGCACTTGTGCCATGTACGTGTCTAAAGCAGCCTAAGGAAATCTAAGGAATACCCTGATATGAGCCAGAGTCAAAATGAAACTTCCGTCAAGGGCATGGGAAATTTAAAACTGATGTCAATGTGACCGGGCCTTTCCCTTTGACTCATGATGACTTGTGGGAACCAACGTTTCAAAAAATCTCCAAAAAGAAGCCCTTCGTTCTAAATTCAAGCTACCACTTGAGTTCCAATTGCTTGAAAGTGGTGTCAAAACAGGGGTTTGGAGCCCACACAAAGATGGTGTTCTTTCAAAGCCGCCACATCTCTGGGCAAAAGATGACGACTCAAGACACCAAAGCACCTTCCTGATGGCCGTCGTTTCCCACCCAAACGATGTCATCGCCGAGGCGCCGTGACCGTGTCTGTGATAAAGCCAAGGCCCGTGGGCGGCGCCCAGGAGAAAGTCTCGAAGATGTCCACCTCGGGGTGCCAAGTGCAACCCTTTTCAGCCACCGTTCTTTTCAAAAACCGATTGCCGATTTCCCCAGGGTGTTTGGTGGTTGTCTAGAAAGATCCCTGAAAAGAATGAGAAAGCTACCCCTAGAGTAGTGGTGCTCAGCTTCTGGGCATGTGCCAAAGAAGGGGGCACCACCCAGAGAAATGGTGGCTGTGCTGGTGGTAGCCCTACAAACCTGCCCTAAGGGTTCCCTCAAAAAGACACACAGAGAGGCTTCCCATTTATCCTCTGCAAGAACCAAGTGTTCAAATCCGCAAACCACCAATCCGAACCGCCAATTGGAGGCTACCTGAACTGTACCGGTGGTGGTGTTCCATTTGGCCTCCCTTTAGACTAACCACAAAAGGGCACCTCAAATATAGTAATCCATTTACAGCGCAAGGTTCCTCCCCCCCCACCACCACCACCAACTATCATGGAACCCACCCTCTTTTCAGAGGAACATTGTCTTCCAACAGTACAGTTCCCCAACAATACAGTTCCCTTCATCACCCGGCCACTGAGAAGACTCCCCTGAGAGCAACACAATTCGTCCAAACCAGCGGCCAAACTAAGTTGGGAGTGTGCAGACCCTTTTCGAAGAGTCCGTTTGGACCACTCCCCCAACAGTACATGAAAAGGTTTGAAAGGGAAGCTACAAGAAACCAGCCCAGTTTTGGGGTCCTGTAGTGACGCATCGATTTACAACGCTTCAGCCAAAACACGGAACCATTCCGGAGCACGGAATTGGGCTCGGCATTTGGGCGGAATGTGGCCGGAGAGAGAGAAAAATATGCGGAAGAACCTCTTGTTTGGGGGGGGGGGCACCTTCTCTTGGCGTCCAGCATATATTTTTTGCAGGTAGGTAGTCAGTGGCGTTGGAGGTCAGAATGCACTGAATGGCCCAAAATGAGATTGATTCTCATTTGACTCGATATCCAAGAGACGTGGCGTCCTAATGATCAGCCATATTACCAGGGTTGTGAATGGACAGGTCAACCCCGGCAAACGGTCGTGCGGGCCACTGGGGCTTAAACCAAAGCCACAAACAAACAAAGCTACCAACAGGAAAAAGAAACCAACCCAAGCCAAACCAGAAAACAAGCAGAGAAAACTCAACCGGGACCCAACAACCAACGATGAATAAACACTAAAAGCCAAGCCAAACAAACCAACCTACCCAAACCAAACCCACTAACAAAAATCAAATCTTGGCCACAGAAGAGAGGTGCGCAGAATATCGTATGCCCTGCGTCTGTTTCATACCGTCTTCACATGTCTTCAGTCCTATCTACAATTGCCGGGGATAACATGGAACTTGGTATGGGGCTTCGGAAGGCTGAAGGCTTTGCTTTCAAATGGCCCCTCCGGTTGCTTCCACTTTGGTGGACGGGGTTTTGGAGGAACCAGGTTCCAGAGGAAGCCGTCGCCTCCGGCTGGATGTACTCCAAGGTGGACACGTCCGAGCACCGCTTCCGCGGCGCCGGCACGAACTCCCCGGCGAGGTAGGTGTCCTGCAGGGCCCCTAAAATTGTTGATGGATGGCATTTTTGTTCGGCTTCCTTAACACCTCATCCCAAGATACGAGGGAAACCTGGAACAACCCAAAGGCTTTGGGGTTAACCATTTAATAATGTTTTGACCCTAAGGAAAACTATATAAAACTGTGACCTCAGGTCCTTTAACGCGGAATTTCTTACACCAGGTACAGCCTCCAGCTCACACCGGGGAACCTGTGGCTCCATTCAGAACCCCGGCTCGCAAGCACAAACCGCCCTCACACCCGACAGCCATGGAAGACCTTGGAAAAGGGAAAAGGGGACCGGAGGAAGCCAAACCAACTGATTCTCTCCTGGAATCTTTTGCGGAAATCAAGCTCGCACCTTGCTTTCATAAGGGAGCACCCCTGATCCGTTCTTGCCCCCTTTTGCAGGCTTTCTCATTTCCCCCGCAAGGACAATGACTCTCACTCAACCAAAAGCGCTTAAGACTAAAAACCAAAGTTGGATTCCCAGATATGCCAAACAGCTGGCAGCACCTCGAAGAACTGGCCCTCCAACGGCCGGTCCTGGACCCAGGCTGCCGACCATGCCGTCTTGCTGTAGGTGCCCGCCTGCGAAGCCAGATTTGCTTCGTTGGTTTTATGTTTGTTCTCCCCTAACATGTGATATTCCATGGAAAAAAAGAAGGGCCACCGAGTGCTGATGTTGAGAAAGCACCTTGTGTTTGTTTGTTTGTTGTTTGTGTCCCTCTTCCCTTTTTTTCTTGGGGGGGGGGGGGGGGCGTGATTTTGAAGGTTTGCGGTTTGTGTCCCTCTTCGTTTCTTTTGGGGGGGGGGGGTGAGTTTGAAGGGCCCCGGACTCTTTTTGGCCAATTCGTCGACTTCAATTCCGGCCGGAGCTTGGCTGCAGCCGCTCAACGAGACCCACACTGAGCTTGGAAGTGGCCTTCCTGTAAGCCCAGGGAGAAGATAACATCGTCCAGATATTTAAACCACCAAATGATCTCACTCTAGTTCTTTAAATGGCACTATTATCACTATTATTGTTCACTCTTGCTGTGAATATGTCAAAATTTTGCTGTTGCTGGCCAAAGAAACGCACACCAAATAAAATGCTATACCAGAGCGAGCATGGCACATGCCATGGCCTTGAAATGCCTATTTGGCCATGGCTTCCCCTAGCTAGGGGAGGGACTGCTATGGCCCAAATGTGCAGGTTCCATGGCAGCAAACAAGGGCACCCTTGCGCGAGTTGATTGACACGCGCCTCCTTGTCCCCTTCTGCTCTGCAAACGGAGCCCCGAAAGCCCCATTTGGAGCGGAAAGTCCTTTCGGACAACGCTATTTTGTAAGGGGAGGGGCCCATCTTGATCTGCAAGGGGGTGCACAAAGTCTCTCAAAGGACGCGCCAAGAAATGAAATGGTGTATGCAGAAGCCTTTCAAGCAGCTGGTAAAGGTGTTGGCTGTCGTAAGGTTACTTGATATAAACGTTCAACCCTTGCACCCTTACACCCTGACAATTTGCTCTTGGCGAGATCTAGGTCCTCCAGCCATTTGTCCTTTTTCTTTTTGGTCTGTTTTAGTGGGGGGAACCCTCCCGACCAAAAAAGAAACGATAAAGTTGGCCCTACTCGGGGACCTAGAGATGCTGCTTTCCGGGTGACCCCGCTCGGAACGCGCTCGGAACGCGCTTCGGTGCCTCCACCTGCCAGCCGTCGCGGCCGCCACCAAAGGAGCGGAAGTCGATGAGGCAGCGGCTGGCGGACTCCAAGCGGTAAGAGATGAAGCAATCCTCGGACCGCTCCCTCTCATAGGTGTCCCTCTAATGGGGAAACCAGGTAAGCCAGGAATCGCCATCTCTTTTCGCTCCCTGCAAATGGTCCTGGAAAAAGGATCGTGTTCTGGGCTGCCCGTTTTCAGGCCCCCCGCTAAAAGTGAATAACTTTTAGTGGGTTAAATGGAAACTACCACTAAGCACTAAAAGGCTAAAAAGCTATGGGGATGGCTGGGAGCCACCAAATGTTATTGGACCCTCAACCTCTTGTTTTGTGATACTCTGGGTGGGCAGACAAAAGTCGAAGGTGCCCGTTTTTGAGCTAGCTGTAAGGGAAGCCAAAGGAAAGCACAAACTTTTGCAGCTCCATGTTGGCACACATGTAAAACAGGGATCCTTACACTATACACCTGAACATTGCGATGTAAATGGTGGTTTCCCTTTATTTCGGTGTTGAAAAAGCAACATGTTTCAAGTGGGCACAATGTATTCTTTAGGGAGCCCTGTAAAATAAACAAAGCCCTCGAGTTGGGAGTGGTGGCTTATCAGGTTTAATCCCATGAAGGCGTCATGCATCCCAACTAGTTCACCACATGTTGAGCCAGTGGGACCCGCTGAGCCAGTGGATTGGACCCAATCAAATCTTTGGGGGGCCCTGTCCTGAGAGAATCCGTCCATTCAGTTGTGCTGGTTCCACAAATCTCCATTGGGATTGGTGCTTTGTCCGATTTCTGGGGTCGCATCCACTGGTGAAATGAAGCAATCCTGAGATGCAAGCAGAAATGTAAAATGTTTCCCAACGACAACCATAAAAAGGAAGCAACCCACCGGAGGTCTGGCTGGGGCTTGGTGCCCGTTTTTCGTGGTGGTTTTGCGGAAGGTCAACTCTGCAGCAAGTCTCCCAGCGCTCGTTCGCCAGGCACCCGTTCCCAATGCACGAAGAGGACACCCCGATCACGCGGATGCTCACCGGGACGATGTTGTTCAGGAACTCATTCCCTGCCATGCTCCCATCCGGGCTGTAGCACAGCCTTAGGGATGGGTGTTCTTAGGGGTCAAGAACAAATCCTGCCCCAAATTTGGGGTTCCCAACCTTTGGACAAATCAAAGTCATGCGCAATTGGTTCACTTTAACATTCTGTTTGTTGAAGCAAAACGTTACGGCATATGCCAAAGCGAGCTAGACCCGTTTTATAACGAAGAAAAACATCCCGACGCCAACACCCAGTTTGGCATAGTTTGGGCACATACCCGCGGAAAAGCAAGCGAACCTGGTTGAATGAAACGTGATCACTTCACTCTTTGGGTTGCGCTGGCTTAAGCAGGTGATCTAATCGAATGTTCCCTTCCGGGCCCTTCATCGGAATGAAGACACAACTGACAAAACACATGTAAAGCTTGCCCGATCGTCCCAATGAAACAAACGCCTTCTAGATTGGGTCCGAAACAAAGCCGGAAGCCCCGTCAAAAGCTAAGCGAGCATCTGGTAGTCGCCCCCGTGCATGAAGGACACGTGCGGAAACGTGGCCGTCTGCCCGATCATGGTCCCATCTGACAGAAGCTCCCGCAACCGCAGCAGCCTGGGATCCCAGCGTTGGCCGTTTGGTATAGCTCACGGTTTACAAACACCGCATCCGCCTCCACTGATTTTTGCCAGTGGAACTCAGCGAAAACGTTTTTTTTTTGTTTTTTGTGGCGTCCGAACCAACAGACAAGGTCCTGAAAAAGGTGGAATGCCCCCCAGTCGGACTTGAAATGGTGTCCTATTATTTCTAACCTATAAACATCACCGCCACCCAGGAACGCAAAGGAAAAATATTGAGACCCCTGTTTCACAAAAAAACAAGCCTCTGGGAAAATCTCACTGGCACCGTCCACCAGAATGGATGCCGCTCTCTCCTCGCTTCTCCCTGCCCACTGACCATGGTAGAAAAAGGGAATCAAATCAATTTTTTGGAGCTGACATTCAAAGTTTGTTTTAGTGGGGACCCAACCAGCCAAAAGCACAAGGCAAGGGAAGCCCCACTCACCCTTGTAAAGGGGTTCGGGGGCTGAGGGTTTATGATACTAACCTGCACCAGTTTTGGCTGTGGCCGGCCAACTGGGCGGTTGCAAGGTGAGGCTTGTCCAAGAAGGCGGGCTCGACCAATTTGGGGCCAAAAGGGCGCTCTTTGACTTGGAAGGTTCGTAAACATCTCCCACCTCCAAACCACTTCTTGCAGGGGAAAGCCCGGGCATATACCCTGACAGAGTGCCGGCATAGCGGCTGCAAACCCCGTTCACCCCCTAGACAAAGCGTCGCAAAAAGGGTATCCTCAGGTCCTCGAAATGCGTGGCTAACCTGGACATCACATAGGCCAAAACGTCGGCTTTACCCCCTTTCCTCCAACCGGGGTGGAAACCATGCAGAAATCTGAGTTCCAAAGAAAGCATCCCCCTTGGCACAAAAAAAACTGTTTGTTGGCCTCCGGCCCCCCCAAAAAAAAAGAGCTATACCTGGCAATGCGGTTTGATTGAACCAAGTAGCTGCCCGTCCGCCAGGGTTGAGGGCACGAAGGAATCCGTCTGCCTCACGGATTCGGAGTCCCCGAGTCCCCGAAACGCCGGAACCCGAAACCAGAATTGAAACGAAGAAGTAAGGGGAAACCGCTCAGAGAGGAGTCCCATCGCTTTGGAGAGAAGCACGCCAAGCTCAAGAATTTGGAGACATCTACGGAAAATGGGGGGGTCCATGTCAGAACGCCGCGATCATTCCCTTCCTGCTTTGCAAAGCGAACATTTGGCCGCAAAGCGAAAGGAGACAGCCCAAAGCCTCATACTGCATCATGTTACAACCACTAGGGGGCCCAGAGCCGACAGCTGTTTTTGCCCAAGATCCACTTCCTTTGGTTCTAGCAACATGCTTGTAAAGAAGCAGGGCGTACAAAGGCTTTACCAATTCCCCCATCTAAACCAGGTAGTAGAACCACCTACTCAGCTCCCTTGGAAAGTGAGCTAAGGGCTGTGCAATGATGCCCTCACCAGAGCCATGGACACCGCGTAAGCGCTCCTGACCCCCCACGCAGGGGGAAAAAAAAACAGAAGAAGAAAACAACAACACTCTGAATCCAGCGATCGCGGTTCAAATCCGCGCGGGACCTTCATTGCCTCTTGCACGCAGGTTTCTCGTGAGGCTCAAGTTTCCTGCAGGTTGCCTGCGGGTTTCCATGGGTTTCCTGCAGGCGCTCAAGTTTTTTCGCGGGTTTCCTGCGATGTCCAGCTAACTTGCCTGACCAAGGCTTGTCAAAGCAACATATCGGCTTCCAAAATGAAGCATTGGAGAAGATGTGCACACCACCCTTGGTTCGCCAATGGTTCTTGAGTCAACTGGTTGACATGGAGAACTCACCAAACTTCAGCCACCAAAACCAGAGGGGATAAACCTCGTGCAAAAGTGAGCGCTTGAAATCAAGAAGCCCCAGTTGGCCAGTGACCGGGTAACAGAAAGGACTTGTTGTTCTAAGGAACCCCACCGCGCCCATCCGGAAGGCCGTTTGGCAGTATATCAGCTTCACATTGCATCGTGGTTTGCTTGGTGTTTTGCTTGGTTTTGAACCAAATGTTCTGTGATGGGAAACCACCCCCGAAACGCCTCCAAACAAAACGAGACCAACCAGCGGGAAGTGGGGAAATTTGAACCTCTTCTGGGTAAATTGGAAACCCCCCCTACGAACGTCCAAACCACTAAACGAAACCTAAGGGGAAGCGGGGTACAAGAAGCTCATCTCTGTGTCTTCGCTCTCCTGGCGCAGGAGTCCCTGGTGATGGAGGACACCACCAAGCTCACCACGGCCTGCGACGGATCCGATGGATCCCAGCGATGCTTCGAAGGCAAACTGGAAATCCAAAAAAGGGAAGGCACCGGGCTCCCGATGCTTGAAACAGCTAAAAAAAACAAAAGAGGACATATGTGTTGCTTGTTTGAAGGTTTCCCTCGAATGGTGGTTTGGATTGGTGGTGCGGGTAGGGGGGATGGTGGGGGTGGTTTCCGATTTACCCTCAAGACCCAGGGGTTCTCAGCCACCGGGAGCTCGCTTTCTCATGGGCCTTAGCATCAAGGCGAGAGGCTTTCGGGAAGCTTGCACCCTGAGTTAAAGAGCATGTGCCTTGGCAAAATGAAACGAGGCAAAGAACACAGAACCCCCTGTAGGTGGGTGGATGTAGGGCCCTACATGTGCCTGGGTAAAATGAAACGGGGCTCTGATAAGTCGATGCAAAGAACACAAAGCCCCCAGTAGATGGGGGAAGGTACATGTGGATGGGCCCTAAATGAACACAGGCTAACAAATCCTCAAGTGTCTGTCCATGGTCCATGGCTTTTCCTGTTGCCCGAGCTGTCGTTGCTTCAGAAACGGGGAGCCCACGCAAAATCTCCAGGAACCTATCCAAGGCCAACAGCCAGGGCCACGTTTCATTCCCGGTATGAGGTCAGTCCCACCTTTTTCTGGCAATAACCCCCCCCCCCCCCCCCGTTGTTGCACGCCGCTAGCCGACATGGCTCTTGCTGAGCAACCACTGGCTATGTCCCATTTACCCACCAAGGAAAACTTGAAAACTAGGGGAATTGCAAGGGGCCTCTATGGACGTCGGCCCCTCCCGCCGGGTCCCTACGAGCGGAGAACCAACTTCCTCAAACAGGGAGGGGGCCTCTTGCTTGTTGTTGGGAGGGCAAGAGGCCTCATGCTGACAGCCTCAGCCATTTCGGGTACCTGTCGACAGGCACCCTGGGGAGCCAGGTCTCACCATGGAAAAACCAGCTGGGTCCTAGCACAAGGTTTGGGTTCGGAACCAGAGGGCCCAAGACACCCGTAGTGGGAACTCCGGGAAATGCTTGATGTTTTACTATTCCGTTGAATTTCGCTCCCCTCTTCTTATCGCGGATGGCTTCCTTTTGGCCTAGAACAAGAACCACAGACTAACACGGACGCAACCATCATTCGCAGCAAGCTGCTTGAGAACTGCACCCCTCTTTTGGGCATCCCATGTTTATTTCTGCCTGCCTAATTTTGCCCCCCCCCCCCCTTCTCCCCAAGCAAGAAAAAAAGGCGCGTAGGGCCCGCAGTGCCAACAGGGCCCAACAAAAGGAAGCCAGGCAGCCAAGCCGAGCGCCTGGTTGTGGTCGATGCCAAACTTAAAGTCCTCTGGCACCGAGATGGCCACTAGGCTGTACCTCTCGCGCTCCCAGCCCCAGCCCCAGACCAGTGGACCCGCGGGCCCCGCAAGCAGTGCATCTTATCGCGCATGGGAAACATGCGCAGGGAACGTTTGCGCCAGGAAGGCGCATTTTTGATGGAAAGAGCCTTTCGTCTGGCAATGCAAGGGAAGAAGCCCAAGGAGCGTCCACAGCCCCCGGGAACGGAGCCGGTCACAGGGAAGGGCAATTCGACCCCTCCTTTCAACTGTGGCGTAGACTGCCCAGACAACCTGCTCTGGTTTCCCTTTAAAGGGGGGCTGCAGCCTACATGTTTTGACACGTTTAGCCGTTGCAGAGGATCCCCATGGAAGAGAGAAAAAAGGGCGGATCTTGTCGCATCGATTGCCCTGGGCAGATTGAGTTCTTCAAACCTGAGATTAGAGCCCCCCAAGTGCGGAAGCTTCATCTTGGGTCAGCTCGTTTTACCCCAAGGTGAGTTCGTTCTAGCTTGTCAGCTTGTCCAGTCGTTTATGTTGGGGCGGAAGTCCGACCTTCAAACAATCGACTCGACCATCTCTGCCTGGGGTTCCCAGGTTCCATTTCACTGGGCGTTCGTTCCGCTTTTGGCTTCCCTTCCGCCTAAGGGTAATTACCGAGCCCCAAACGAAACACACGTCCCATCAGGCCATCAACTCCATGTAGCGTTTAGACACCTGGATCCCAAGTCACACGCCCGTATAATATAGGAACCCCTCCGGGCTTCCCATATAAGGAAACAGCGAAACGGCTACCCCTCAAAAGGCTCCCCTCAATTGAGCAGCCCCCAAGTCTACAGGCTTTTGGTTTGATCGGCCTTGCCATATGACAGAAATATACCATAACCGCCATGAAATCAGGTGGGAGCCTTACCAGGTAATGTCGACCCCATATTAATCTACCCCAGCTTTTTTTTTTTTTTGGGGGGGGGGGGCGTTCCCCTCCAAAAGTGATGATTCCCCACTAAACCCAAGGACGCCTTATTAACAAACTGGGGTTGATTCATATGGGGTCAACATTACGCCTTACCACAAAAAAATGCTCATCGCTCCCTTGGCTGTTTTTCGCTAATCGCTCGCCTGTAGCCCGCCAGCAGCGTCAGAGACAAGGCCGCCGCGGCGCCGCTGCCGAAGGCGGAGGCCTCGCGCCGGGCCGTGGAAGAACGGGGAGCTGAGATTGAGCGTCCAGCGCAAGCCACCCAGCGGGAGGTTGGGATATCTACCCCCTGTTTTGGTGGCTAGTGGCCGCATATGTGGGTGGTTTTGGGGGGATATATGTTCCAGGCCGTGAACCCCTCCCTCCCCCCCAAACCCCTCCCCCCCCCCCGCCTGTGGGTTAGATAGATATACCCCTTATATGGTGGCTAGTGCCCGTTTAACCCCGAAAGGTAGTGGTTTTGGGGGGTAGTGGAAACCATCTTAGATGATGGGCAATTCGGATTGATGAACGCATCCTGCAGCTGTGTCCCCTACGCAAATGGGAGGATTCCCACTAGAAGGGCCACCATTGCCTCCAAGGGCGATATCCACTATAAGCAGGGTATGCACCTTGTTTTCCCGGGAGTGGTTTGGGTGGCAAGTGGAACAATATTCTTAGTGGTTCGCTAGTCTCTTGCTAAAAGTGAGACTTTAAGTGGGAGATGTTATAACCCCTCAGGCTACAAGTCTACATAAGAGGCAAGGCACCGGTTGGTAGGGGGCGAATCCACGTATATGGCTTCATCCAGCCTAACTGGCACGGGTGTTTGTCCATCACTTGCGGTTTGGTCAACGTTCTCCTTGGCTCGGAACAAGCCTCGGTGCGTGGCCTCTGGCCACCATTTTCACGCCCGGGTTTCGCTTACCGATACGCATCCCGTGCATCTGATTGGTAAAGGGTCGGGGCCTTCGGCTTCAGATGTTTGCCCTCTGAGAGGTTGCCCACTCCTTTCATCGCCCTTTTGCCCCTAACTTGGGCAAATTTGGGCGTGCCCTTTGGGTTAGCCTTTTGGGGTCTGGCAGGAACCCCATGGGAAGCCACTCCTTCGGGATCACATAGCGACCCACGGGTGAAAGGCTGGCTTGCAAGTTTTTTGATCACAGTTGATGGAAGAAGGGCATGTGTAACAAATTCCTTACTATTGGCTTACAACATAGCATGGGGACTAAGAATAAGGAAATGGATTGACAAACTCCTGATTCGCTGGGAATTGCGTGAATGACCCAAAGTGAACCATCCCGAATGGCTTTCTAGAGGATCCCCTTTCGGTTCCTTCCCAAAACCGTTCAAGCTTAAACTGCCCGCTTTTGCATTTCAGGCCTATGTTCAACCTAAGGGAAACCTGACAAAAGGTGAGCGTCCAAAACCCCCGGAAGGGCCATTCTGGTAGATGGTTCTACCTGGCTTGGTAGCGGGTTATAGTACGCCCTGTACACACAATTGTCTAACCATGATAGAACCAGAAGTCAGTGCGGGTTTTGGCCAAAGTGCGCAAAACCAACCAACAGATGGAACCGAGCTGGACCTTTGGGCTGCCTCAAAACTTGGTTGCTGCTGACCCCCCTGCAACAAGTTTAACTGTTTGGGGGGTTAGTGGAAAACCCCTTGATTTCCCCAAAAGTTAAAGTCTAAAGATCCAACCCAAGAGCAGTCAAGAAAATGACATGAACAATATATCGCCATAGTGTGGATGGTTGCGACATCCATTTCGCACCGCTTTGAAACCATGGTTGAAGCCATGTTGGCATTTACAGGGGAATACTTCCAGGGTTCGGATTTCGTCCAACTACAGTAGGCGGCGTTTTTTTTGAAGCAAGCGCTTAAGGTTGTTTTACGACCCGTCGAAACCTTGAGAAGACGCGTCGAAACCAAAATCCCACCCGAAGGAAGTCGCCTCCAGCTGGCTGTCGAATGCGAGCTTCGTGCCCAGCGGGAACTCCCAGCCCTGGAGGCGGCACCCAGAGACGTCACATGGCTCTGTCTTCGTTTGGAGTTGCTACCCACCTGTTTGCGGCGGTCGTGATGGGGAACCAAAGCAAAAACCAGCAATTTGGAGGGGTCACCTAAAAAAAAACACATGGTATAAACGTTTGAGCCGATTTTTTGGTCCCCAGCTGGATGTGGCTTCAACTTCTGTCAGGGAGTCCCTCCACAATCCGGAGTAAACATAAATCCCCCCCCCCCGCGCAAATGAGTAAGTCGTTCTTTGAGGGTACCTCTTTGGGGCTGATGGAAGGTCAACACTCCCAGATAAAGGCGGTTTGCATCCAATCAGCAACCCCAGTGGCCAGGGGGAGCTTGTTCCAAAAAAGTTTAACTTTTAGTGGTTTAATGGAAAACCCATTGGTTGGCAAAAAGTGAAAGTCCTAACATCCAAGCAACATGCGCCAAAGAAAATAGTTTGGAAGTTTAGGTTGAAGTGGGGCTATGCCTTAGCGAATGAAGCTTTGGGAAACGTGCAATTCACATGTTGGCTTTATGCTTTCGATTTGCTTCCAAGGGCATGCAAGGAAAATGGTGTCCACCCCTCCCACAAAAATAGCACCTGACAGGAGCAGTCTCAGGTATATAAGTGGTTTGCAGGTGTGGAGCTTGTTTCAAAAACAGCAGCCATCAGGTTTCACTTGTTCTGTGACCCCTGTGTGAGGCGATTCCACATATTGAAGGCTGCCGGTGCCGATTTGTTTGAGGCCATGGCACCTCACAGGGGCCCTTCAATATGGTGCAGAAGGAAACTGGAAATCTATTGAACCCCGCCCTTTGGACGCTTCTGCATGAATTCACTTGTCCTCATTGGTACCCTGGAACCCAACAAAAAACGGGTCGCTTACGGGAAGCTCCCTCTAGCTCTTTGGGTGCCATTAAAAATCTCCGGGGCTGTAGGGCTCCGGGGCATGACCAACACATCTTTTAAGATATGTTGACATCTTGGGAAAGCCGCCTGGCAGTTTCCCCGCTTTTCAATTCGCCATTCCAAACCATGCGATCAGGATCAGAAGGAAGTTCCCTCTCTCCCCTTCAGCTTCACATGCATCTCTAGACGCCTTCCTTTTGAGCGGAGCGCCCTTTGAGGGAGTGGCAAGGGAAAGGTGATGATCGACCCCCATTCGTTTGCCGAGGACTGCGCGGGAACCTAGTGGTGACAGTTGGTGGCTGTGACCATCAGTGACTACCAGTGACTAAAACAGACTGGCCGCGACTTTGCGTGACCAATGGCTACTAGGCCCTTCAAGGATGATTGAAGGAGCAAAGACCCTTGAAAGCAGTTCCCTGGCAACGCGAGTGGGAGGGTAGCGCAGGGCTTGGATAGAAGCATGGCAGCATGACTGTTGAATTGGCCTGCAATTGAGCTGGTTGCGAACAGACATCTTGAAATGTTCTCAAAACTTGTGATGGCTGTGGCTCAAGTAGATGACCCAAAATGGCCCCCTTGGCACATGGAACCAAAGACTAAAACCTGCGTAACCCTAGCTCTTGAATTTTGAGCCACTGATGTAAAGAGGTTGCCTGGGTCGTGGTCAAATGAAAACGGGCCCTGCGACCCGTTTAGGGCCTCACATCACCCGCGCCCCTTTGATCCAAGGCTCGGCTGACAGGAGGATCTCTTCCTGCAAGCGCCGCGCCTGCGAAGAAAAAGAGAGGCCCTTGGGAAAGGAGATCTGACGACAAAAATCAGCTTCCCCATGATTCGTGGTTTGGTGGTTTGGTGGTTTGGTGGTTTGGTGGTTTGGTGGTTTGGTGGTTTGGTGGTTTGGTGGTTTGGTTTCCCAACCCTCTACAACAACCTCAAGTTCAAATCTCCAATCCAGTGGTCGCCTTTCGATGCCTGGGCCCCAAAGCCATTGGGTCACCAAACAGACCCTTGGACAGCCATGAGGACGGGGGAGACGGGGGCCTGGTACTCGTCCACAGCCTGGTTTCCCTTTTGGCCCGCCAGTTTGGCTGGTTCCCGCCGCTGGCTTCCCATTCCATTTGGATGTTCACTGTAGATCACTCACCAACCTGAAGAAAAGGAATCCACAAGCACAACTCCTTCATGGACTAGTCGCTTTCTTTACCACCAATCATTATGAAACTGTCCGGTCGGTCAAATTTCCATCGCCCCAAACAGTAGAACAAGATCAAGAATTGGCGCGCTTTCATTTCGGCTGGTTCAGTTCCATTCTAGTGAGCCCCAAGCCCATCAAACAAAAAGGGGACTTGCAGGGTGACATCCACCTTCCACTGGTACAAAAAGGCACCCGAAACTTTGGGGAACACCGGCCAAAACAACAAGGGCCAACGGGAGCCGCAAGCAACTGGGAACTGGACAAGATCGGTCGACCAGATCGGCAAGTTCGAACCTTGCCCTTTGATAGATGGCGTTCGGTTCGAGTGCATCTCAGATGGTTCTCACCACCAGGCCACAAACTACCCGGCATGAGTTCAATGTGACTTACCACTTTTTACAATCCACGTCGGAAAGCAACTGAAACTCTCTGGGAACTTAAGTCACTAGGTCCTCCAGAGAGGATAGAATAAGGGTGCCAACTTTTTTCTGTAGTCTATTTTAGTAGGGGAACCCTTCCCCAAAAAAGGGTAAAAGGGCACTACTGGGGGACCTAGGTCAAAGCCCGGTTTTTGTCTGCCTGCTCCTGCAGGGTCTCATTGTACAAGCCGCTCGGCCTGCCGCTCAATGGTCAAATTCACCCGCCTTGCCTCCCTGCCTCCGTACGGAAAGTGCCAAACTCCTACCAAAAAGAGGTCCCTCAAAAAGAGGCTCCTCTGAAATGGCTGGCTGAATTCCATAGCCACCAGAGCCCTAGAGGAAAACTGTCCTCGGAGCGATCGTGTCCCATGATAAAGTCCGGCGCCCCACACAGGAGGCCAAAAATCCCAACACCATGGGAATTGAGTTGAGGGGGTGCTGGAACTCGAGTGGGCTAAGAGGCAACAGAAAAGGCTGTGATAAAAGCCCGGGAACCAAACCCAAGCCAGAGTATTTTGGAATTCTCTGGACGGCTAGCACCATAATGTCAAGATGACGTTCCCGCACACACGGTTCCAAGGAAGAAGTGTCTCGGCTTCTCGGGGCAATTTCAACCTCGGAATCCTTTGAGCAGCGGCCTCCGCGAGTTCGTTCCTACTGGGGCTAATGGCACAAGCCGCCTCATGTTTCCCACGGCAACGCGTGGATTCATTCCGCTTCAAAAGCTCTTGATGACAAATTCACCACACCGGACCGGAAAGAACCACGACATGGAGCCTCTCAGGGTGAACATGTGCCGTTTCGGGCCTGGCAAAGGCTGGAGCTGCCTGGCAGTGGGGGGGGGGGGGGGCGTGTTGGCAAAGATCTCGGCCGAAAAAGCGGCATGCAATGCCACCGCCTTCCTTTCCAACCCTGACAGCTCCCGCATGCCGAGAACAGGATCCATGTTCCCCAAATGTGCTGGAACTTACTCGGAGGAGCCTCCGGATAGACGATACGCGATCCGATTGGCTGGTAAGATCAGGGGGGTTCCAAAGTCCACTTCTGAAGGAACACCCAACAAGCCCCATCTTCAGGATGTCCCAAGTGTTGAAACCAAACAGGCAATCCTTCCACTGAAGAAGAAAGAGCTCCCAACATTGTTTGCCATCATCCCCTAAACCAGTGACATCAAAAAGCTAGACGTTATGTACCAATCATAGGCATGTTCCCCCTAAAATCAACCGGCAATCGTAAAATCAACCGCCACTGCTTCCTCCGGCCACTGACTACATTGACCCTTCCCCTTTATTGCGGAAAGGTCAAAGCCTTCCGCTGCAAGTGATCGGAAGCGCCAACTCTACCCACCTAGGATGGCCCAGCGCAGGCGTTGGGAATGATCTTTGCCCTGTTTCCTTCTGGGTAAGCCCGGCATATGCTTAGGCACTACCCTCCCACCAATCAACATGGAACCTGAAAGAAGGTCCCATGAAACTGAAAATTCTCTTCCAGGACCTCCCTGTCAAGTTCCACGTTAATTGGTGGGAGGTAGGGCACTCTTGGGAAAGGGCACCACGCTGACAGCGTGGGCGGCAACTTGCCATCAACAGTAGCACGTATGCGATAAATGACTCGTGTCAGAACTGCTTGTGTAAAGGGAAAGCCCGATTCCTAGGCGAGCTTGGCAATGAGCCCAGCACACAACAAGAAGCATCCTGCGGGAAGCATTGCGGCGCGCAGACACAACGCATCTTTTCATTTGGGCAGCTGCATCTGGCAAAGCGACTCAACTTGAATCAGAGGGTTGGAATTGCGTTCATTTTCGGCACCCCCTTGGGGGGACCGGCAACGCGTGGAACCCAAGTTCAGCTGAGGACTGGCTGCAAGTCGGGCCAAAACACAAGCTGACAGCCTGAGAGCCAGCTCTAGAGATGAGAAACGCCAGGAGTGAAACTGGATCCTGCCACTTTGGAGGTCCCAAAAAAGGGGCAAAATGAGGGAAGTTGATTCAAGGGCCTCTGGTAAGACTCCAGTTCTGAGAGGCTGACGGGGGTAGCTGTCTGGCAATTACCTGAACATCTCTCAGTGCATACTGTTGCTTCACTCTTGCGAAGCAATGCCTGTGACAAACTGCCGAAACGAAACAAATGAAAACATGACAAATGCAAGTACCATCAAATACACCTGAGTGATTTGGTGGATTGCACAACTCTCCAGGGGTGCAGCAAAATGAGCGAAGTGAATTTGCCATCTACTTTCACCCAACTGCAACAGCCTGCTGTGGACAAAATCCTGCACCAGTTGGGATGAGTGCGGCTGGATACAAAAACAGAAAAAAGGGCGGACACCTAAGCCTCCCCCACAGAGGCCAAGAAAGACTGATAGAAACCGTTTAGGTTCTGATCGAAGGGTTCGGAGCACCTTTCCAAGGGGGCGGGTATCGCCCGATGAATTTGTTTGCCTCGATATCAAAGTGGCTCCAGCGGTCTGCCTGTCGGCCAAAACCTACAAATCAGTACAGGTCATCTGCAGCGATGTCTCGTGTCTGAGTCGCCACAGGGCGGGCAAGGAGATCTAGGCTGAGTCAGTGGATTTCACTGCAGTGCAGTGCATTGCGAGATGATTCATGGTTCGCATCTGGCATCTTCCGTTTGGCCACTTCGCTGACTCGCAACACACGAAAAATGATTGAATAAGCCGGCTCTACCGCGAGCGCCCCCGTTGTGGGAGCATTTCGGCATGAATTGGTTCGTGCGGAGGGAGAACGTCACCCGAAACAGGGCTTCCATTTGCTTCATGTGCTGACCGCGTCATTTCTAAACCTCGCCCAAGGAGTCATGTCTTTACGTCGTTGCCATGCCCTTCTAGACTTAACTGGGGGTGGAGCTGGAGGGGTGCAAGCACCCATTTCATCAACATTCCCAAGCCAATCCAAACTAGCAATTTGATGGCTACCCGCCCACTGCACCCCACCAGGAAGCGACTGTCTTCAAAGAGGCCCACTTACGATCCACGTCTAACTTGTCCACAGGACTGGGTTATTTTCGGGACCTTGACAAGACATGACAAAGAAGGTGGGAAGCTACCTGAAATCATCCCGGGCAAATGGAAGATGTGAACCAAGGTCCGACACTTCACGCACTCGTCGGCACAGGCTCGTAGTTGCAGCACCAGGAATGGATCAGTGGTTGGTCAGCTGCGTCCTGAACAAGCGGGCACAGGAAAAGAGGTCCGAAAAGCCACAACGAAGAAAGGTGCACATATATATATATATACACATATATATATATATATTCATATGCGAAATAGGTGTGTGTGTGTGTGTGTGTGTGTGTGTGTGTGTGTGTGTGTGTGTGTGTGTGTGTGTGTGTGTGTGTGTGTGTGTGTGTGTGTGTGTGTGTGTGTGTGTGTGTGTGTGTGTGTGTGTGTGTGTGTGTGTGTGTGTGTGTGTGTGTGTGTGTGTGTGTGTGTGTGTGTGTGTGTGTGTGTGTGTGTGTGTGTGTGTGTGTGTGTGTGTGTGTGTGTGTGTGTGTGTGTGTGTGTGTGTGTGTGTGTGTGTGTGTGTGTGTGTGTGTGTGTGTGTGTGTGTGTGTGTGTGTGTGTGTGTGTGTGTGTGTGTGTGTGTGTGTGTGTGTGTGTGTGTGTGTGTGTGTGTGTGTGTGTGTGTGTGTGTGTGTGTGTGTGTGTGTGTGTGTGTGTGTGTGTGTGTGTGTGTGTGTGTGTGTGTGTGTGTGTGTGTGTGTGTGTGTGTGTGTGTGTGTGTGTTTGTGCGTATCCTGGCAGTGCGCGCTTTGAGGCTTGCAGCCTTCTCGTGGGTCAACATCTCTTGGGGAAACATCTTTGACAAGCCCAAGAAGAACCATAACAGATAGAGACAACACAAAAGCCCCGAGAAACTTCCCAAAACAACGCGAGAACTCGAGCAAAACATATCGTTAACAACAAATGAGTTCAACACTCATCGGAAAACAGCTCATTTTGAAACAGTTCTAGAAACATGGTTCTTTAGGTTGCCTTGCTTTTGGTGTCCCCGAGCTTTTGTTGTCGTTGTTTTTGCCGGGTTGCTGTTCTCGAGGGTGTTTGGTTTTCGATTGAGTTTTCTCGAGCTGTTTTGTCATTTAGGTTTTTAGGTGTTTGCTTTTTAATGCCTTATTGGGTTCCAGCTAAAATCTACTTAAACTCTACTTGAAGTCCTACTGGGAATGGAATTCCTATTTAATTTCAAGCACAAAGCTAGAATTCCAATAAGCTTAAACGTCTAATATTGTCTGAAAGACACACCAGCTTGTCTTCTCTGACCAGGTTCTGTTTACAACATAACTTGAGGAGCGGGTGAACGAAAGCTAGCAGTTGTTGCATGAGATGGGCCGGTGACAGAGTGGATTCATAGGTAGCTTGTGTACAACGAGAGGCCCGGCAAGATTCGTAGGATGCGACACGCAAACGCACATGGTGGCGTGGCAAACCTTGAAAAATGAAAACAACGAGAGGCGTCAGAAGCTGTCTTAAAGCACCTCTGGGTTCTGCATGCAGCGTGTGCAAAGATTCTTGCGAGGTGGTTTACCGAGAAGACTGAGGTCTCAAATGAACAAGCTGAATCGGTGGAACATGTAAAAGTTCGTAGCACCAAGTCCAAAACGGGCAAACCGAGACTGCTGAACACTGAGCCACTGCCCGGGGGGGGGGGGATGGACCAGGGAGGAATCGAGCCTGGGAGGGGGGGGGGGGTCTAAATAATTGATGTTTTTCAATCTTTTCGGCTCAAATAATTGAAAAAATCAATCTTTCGGCATTTGAGCCCCTTACCTTGCTTACGCAAGGAGAAACTTCAGCTAGCTAAAGCTAGCTTTCGTGAAAAGGAGGCAGCTTTCAAAAGTCAATCCTGAGAAAGGGAAGCTCGCCAAATAGACGCTCAAGGTTTTTCGGGGTGCTGCCAGGCTCTCCAACTGAACGCTCAAGCAAAGTCCGAGGCGTCTGATACGGGGGCCTATAGCCGTTCGACGATCTGTCCGACCGTCCGAGCAGTCCGTCCGTCCGACTAGATGCCCGACCAGTCCGACCAGTCCGTGCTTCGCGGGCCCGACGTCCGAGCTGTCCAAGCCGAGGCGTCCGTGTCCGAGCCGTCCGTCCGAGGTGTCCAAGTCCGAGCTGTCCGATCAGCCTGATCCGTGCGCGCTGTCCGACCAATCCGCGCTCCATGCCGTCCGCGCCGTCCGGCCGTCCGAGACGTCCGGTCAGTTCCGAGCTGTCCGAGCCTGCTCGCCTCAAACAAAGTCCGAGGCATCCGACGAGTTTGAGCTGTCCGACCAGTCCGTGCTACGCAGGTCCGGCCGTCTGACCGGTCCGTCCCGTCCGATCTGTCCGAGCTGTCCGACCAGTCCGATCTGTCCGCTGATCTGTCCGATCATTTGCCCTCACCGACGGCAAATGAGCGGGCCTCTGATTTCCGCCCGAGGCACGGTAAAAAAGGGAACAAACGGACCCCTCAATGGGGCAAATGAGCGGGCCTTTTCGGGGTGCTGATTTCTGCCCGTTGCACGGTAAAAAAGGGAAGAAACGGACCCCGCTCATTTGCCCTCACCAATATTGACGGCAAATGAGCGGGCCTGTCCGGGGAGCTGATTTCTGCCCAAGGCACGGTAAAAAGGGAACAAACGGACCCCGCTCATTTGCCCTCACTGGTGAGGGCAAATGAGCGGGCCTCTCCGGGGTGCTAATTTCTGCCCGTGGCACGATAAAAAAAAGGGAACAAACGGACCCCGCTCATTTGCCCCCACTGGTGAGGGCAAATGAGCGGGCCTCTCCGCAGTGCTGATTTCTGCCCGAGGCACGGTAAAAATTTCTGCCCGTGGCACGGTAAAAACGGGAACAAACGGCAAATGAGCGGGCCTCTCCGGAGAGCTGATTTCTGCCCGAGGCACGGTAAAAACTGAACAAACGGACCCCGCTCACTTGCCCTCACCGGTGAGGGCAAATGAGAGGGCCTCTCTGGGGTGCTGATTTCTGCCCGTGGCACGGTAAAAAGGGAACAACCCCCGCTCATTTGCCGGCAAATGAGCGGGCCTCTCCGGGGTGCTAGTTTCTGCCCGTGGCACGATAAAGAAAAAGGAACAAACGAGCCCCGCAATTTGCCCCCACCAGTGAGGGCAAATGAGCGGGCCTCTCCAGCGTGCTGATTTCTGCCCGAGGCACGGTTAAAAAAAAAAACGGACCCCGCTCTGGTCAGGGCAATGAGCATGCCTTTTCGGGGTGCTGATTTCTGCCCAAGGCACGGTAAAAAGGGAACAGACGGACCCCGCTCATTTGCTTTCACTAGTCTGGCAAATGAGCGGGCCTCTAAAGGGAACAAACGGACCCCGCTCATTTGCTCTCACCAAGCAAATGAGCGGGCCTCTCCGCAGTGCTGATTTCTGCCCGTGGCACGCTAAAAACTGAACGAACGGACCCCGCTCATTTGCCCTCACCATTGAGGGCAAATGAGCGGGCCTCTCCGGAGAGCTGATTTCTGCCCGAGGCATGGTAAAAACTGAGCAAACGGCGCTCATTTGCCCTCACCATTGAGAGCAAATGACTGGGCCTCTCCGCGGTGCTGATTTCTGCCCGTGGCACGGTAAAAAAGGAACAAACGCACCCCGCTCATTAAAAAGGGAACAAACGGACCCCGCTCATTTGCCCTCACTGGTGGGGGCAAATGAGCGGGCCTCTCCGCGGTGCTAATTTCGGCCCGTGGCACACCCCGCTCATTTGCCATCACCAGTGAGGGCAAATGATTTCTGCCGGAGGCACGGTAAAAAGGGAATCATTTGCCCTCATTGAGAGCAAATGAGCGGGCCTTTGCGGAGAGCTCATTTCTGCCCGAGGCACGGTAAACACTGAAAAAAACGGACCCCGCTCGTTTGCTCTCACCATTGAAGGCAAATGAGCGAGCCTCTCCGGTGTGCTGATTTCTGCCCGTGGCACGGTAAAAAAGGCCCCGCTCATTTGCCCTTACACCAGGGGGGGCAAATGAGCGGGCCTCTCCGGGGAGCAGATTTCTGCCCGAGGCACAGTAAAAAGGGAACAAACGGACCTCGCTCCTTTGCCCTTACGAGGGCAAATGAGCGGGCCTCTCCAGGGTGCTGACCGTGGCACGGAAAAAAGGGAACGGCAGAGCAGCCTTCGTTCGAGGGGCGGCCGTGCAATGCTGATTTCTGCCCCAAACACGGTGAACATGGAACAAACGGACCCCGCTCATTTGCCCTCACCGGTGACTGGCCTCTCCGGCGTGCTGATTACCGCCCGAGGCACTGTAAAAACTTAAAAACTTAACAAACGGACCGCACTCATTTGCGCTCACGATTCGAGCAAATCGGCAAATGAGCGGGGTCCGTACCGTGCCACGGGCAGAAATCAGCAGCCCGGAGAGGCCCGCTCATTTGCAAGGGCAAATGAGCAGGGCTCGTTTGTTCCCTTTTCTCGGGCAGAAATCAGCACGCTGGAGAGGCCCGCTCATTTGAGGGCAAATGAGCGGGGTCCGTTTGTTCCCTTTTTTACCGTGCCACGGGCGGAAACCAGAACGCCGGAGAGGCCCGCTCATTTCCCGGTGAGGGCAAATGAGCGGGGTCCGTTTGTTCAGTTTTTACCGTGCCTCTGCTCATTTGCTCTCACTGCAGTGGTGAGGGCAAATGAGCGGGGTCCGTTTGTTCCCTTTTTTACCGTGGCACGGGCAGAAATCAGCACCCCGGAGAGGCCCGCTCTCAGCATTGAGGGCAAATGAGTGAGCCTCTCGACTCTCTGGGGTGCTGATTTCTGCCCGAGGCACGGTACAAAGGGAACAAACGGACCCCGCTCATTTGCACTCACGGGTGAGGGCAAATGAGCGGGCCTCTCTGGCGTGCTGATTTCTGCTCGAGGCACGGTGCAAGGACACTTGCCTTGACCTTGAAGAGGAACAAGCATGCCTCTCCGGGGTGCACCGCCTTCATCTGCCCGATCAATCCGATCTGTGCGATCCGTCCGACCGCGCAAGCCGTCCGAGCTGCGCAAGCCATCGGAGCCGTCCGATCGGTCTGTCGCAATCCGTCCGAGCTGTCCGGCCCGTCCGAGCCGTCCAAGCTCTCCGCGCAGTGCGACCCGTCCGGCCGTCCAAGCTTTTCAGCTGCACGAACCGTCAAAGCCGTTCAAGCCGTCTGAGTCGTCCGAGCCGCCGATCCGCCCAAGCCGGTCAATCCGTCTGATCAGTCCGAGCCGTCCGCGATCCGTCCGAGCAGTCCGATCCGCCCGAGACATCCGAGCCGTCCGAACCGTCCGATCCGCCCCATCGACCCAATCAATCCGATCTGTCCGATCCGCCCGACCCGCGCAAGCCGTCGGAGCCGTCCGATCCGTCCGAGCTGTCCGCGCAGTGCGACCCGTCCCGCCATCCAAGCTTTTGAGCTGTCCGAACCATCAGAGCCGTCCAAGCCATCACTCCGACCGATAAGCCCGATCCATCCGAGCCGCCAACCCATCTGATCCAGTCCGATCCGTGCGAGCCGTCCGATCCGTCCGCTGCATCCGAGCCGCCCGAGCCGTCCGAGCTGCCGTCAGCGCCATCCAATCCAACCCAGCCGTCCGAGCCGCCCAAGCTGTCCGATCGGTTCGATGCGTCCGAGCGTCCGCTTCGTGCGATCCGCCCGATCCGTCCGATCCGTCTGATCGTCCGAGCCGCCCGCGCCGTCCGATCTGCCCGACCCGTCCGAGCAGTCCAAGCTGTACAGCGGTCCGGGCTTTTGAGCTGCCCCAACCCTCGCCTCGGAGGGCCTATCAGTCCGCGCTCGTCTGTTCAACGCGTCCGAGTCGTCCGATCCGTCCGAGAAGTCCGACTGGGCCGGACACGCAACGTACCACTAAGCAAAACACGTCATTCGCCACATGGACGCCAAGCGTCCAAGGCACGGGGGAGGGGGGGGGGGGGTCTAAATAATTGATGTTGTTCAATCTGTTCGGCTCAAATAATAGAAAAAATCAATCTTTCGGCATTTGAGCCCCTTACCTTGCTTACGCAAGGAGAAACTTCAGGTAGCTAAAGCTAGCTTTCGTGAAAAGAATCTAAACAATTTTGTAAACTTTAATTGAGCTCATATTTGGAAAGAATCCGAAAGAACATCTGAACCAAAATGCGAGTTCTCATTAAATTTTAGTTGGAATCCTCCTTCGGAGGGGGGTGCCATTTAAAATCTAAGTCGACATAAGGATCCACACTGAATTCTAATCGAAATCCAATCTAAACTTAAAGACTTGCAATGTAAAATTTGCAAACCAACCGGAACGGAATGCATGTTCTATTGGTTCTTGCTGGTTGTCCGCTCCTTTTAATATAAGGGGATTGCAAGCTAGAAGAAACAAAAAACATATGTGGAAAGGAAAACCTGGTTTAATTTGGACTCAAAATACGATGACAAAATGCATTCTAATTCAACTATGGTTCAAGCTTCAAGTGTTGCCATTTAAGACTTGTAAGCCAACATTGGGTTTCTACTTTTTTTTTTCGTTTCTGTCACGCGGCAGGCAAATTGCAAGAAACGGCCAGCGTGAGTTGCGACTCCCTGAGCATGCCCTTTAAGCATGGGCAAATCCCCGGCTGGTTGCCGGGTAGACTGACATTCCAACGGGCCTCCCTAAAGCTTCACACCCTTAAAGAACCACCTTGGTCGCTCTTGGTTATAAAACACTGTGACTTGCATCATTTAAGCGGGCGCGCTTATCATTTGACAGGCGTGCGCAGTGCTGAGCGAGTGCGCTGAGGGTGCGCTCAGTGCCGAGCGGATGCTCTTGACCTCGTGCGCTTGTCACTTGGAAGGTGCGTTGAGCTTGCTGGAAACTGATTAGCCTGGCTATCGTGGGGCGGTCTGCCAAACTTAAGCTTGTCAACCCACTAAGACTTAAGCCTTTGTTGCCAGGTTGAGCTCGCAATATAAGGCCTCACCACATCGGACATGCTTTTAACTGCGAAACACACGGCGGGTCCAAATCCCGGCGAACCCTCCCCATCCGGCGGTCGACCCCGTCCTCGACGATGCTGGGCAGCGCCTGTTCGCCCGCTTTCGGCGTGGCACACTGCGCCGGCCTCGGGGCCGCGAAGCGAAACGCCGGGCGTGCAGAAGCAGCAAATCTGCAAAGTCTAAATTCCAAAACCTGAAGTAAGGGATCCCTTCCTTCCTTCCCTCCCTCCCTTCCTCCCTCCCTTCCCTTCCCTTCCCTTCCCTTCCCTTCCCTTCCCTTCCCTTCCCTTCCCTTCCCTTCCCTTCCCTTCCCTTCCCTTCCCTTCCCTTCCCTTCCGTCCACAGTATGTGCCGTGGTCAAGCCATTTGCTTGGTTGGTAGGGCTGGTCACGGACCACATAGGGAATCCATTTAAGTTGCTGTTCGGGAGTGGGCAAAACCCCGCACTGTTGGGATGGATGAAAGGCTCTGAAAACTGGCCAGATTCTGTCCATCCACAAACACCTTCTATGTGTTGCTTCTCCGGTTTGAGCTCAACGCATTTCGATTAAACATCGTTCATCGAAGGTCTACGGCTAAAAGAGGAGTAATGATGTATTCACATGCCTCTTGAACACTGCCTGGGTCCTGTGTTCCAACTCGAATGTCTCACCGCTGCATGGAGAAAATCGGCAGATTTCTAACTGAGCAAGGTTTTGTATGTTTCACTCATCGAGGCATCACACATTTGTAGAGAGAGTGCGCAGCACCTGTGTGTGGAAGGCTAGATGTTTCAAGTTGCGAATTTGGATTCAAATTTGCTTGCAGAGCTTGAACATGATTCTGTTTATAGTGAGCTTGCCCCCCCCCCTTTGGTGGAATAATCGCTTGCCGCTTGCCATACAATACTATAAGGACCTTAGCAACTTGAATGGTTGCGGGGGAATTTGCAACCTATATCAAGTGATGATGATTTGTTGACCTCTCTCTAGTGATCGTAGGATGGTAATGTGTTTAACTATTTGGCCCCTTCTCGTACACAGACATAACGCGGGTTGTCCTCTTTGTGCTCCTTTGCCACAGAGAGAAAAAACAGGACCCTCAAAAAACAACAAAAAACAACTGCACGTGGAACCCCACGCTCCGCCGATCTGCAAGATCTCGAGGGCTGCCGTCACGCACCCGAGCACTGCGAAGGTCACTGCTGCCACGCTCACAGCCCCTGCCGGCTGCAGAGACGCAAGGCACGCGCCGTTCGAAGAACATGTCGCTTCCCTCTTGGCGATTTGGACACAGGTGTCCTCTTGGGAAAACAGATGGCCCTAGTAGATTATGCAAGAACCAGGTCAACCGCGGCCATCTATGTTTCACCAGAGAAACGGAAAACGACACCTATGGATTTCGATGGGTGGAGTTCAAAAGCAGATTTCCCATTTAGCCGCAAGACCAGGGGATCGAATCCCCAAGCCACGCCTGCCGAAAATCCATGGGCTTTGGGATTGCGAAGAAGGATGCGACAATTGGCTCACAATTCCCTCACCCTGTCAACAACTGTGGACACGTCTGACAGCTCCATGCCCCACATGCAAAAACAAGCGGGCAGAGGCATGCCCTATTTACACAGCTAGATAGAGCAGAGCTGTCAGAGAGGGACTGGCAAAAGATAAAATGAGGACCAAACTGCAACCAGTCAAATCCTATCAAGGTTTAGCGCTACCTTTTGAATCGAAGCGTCAGAATCTAAAAGATAAGGACCAAGCTGAAATCAGTGCAACCCATCGCTCACCAGCGGTGACCAGGTGGGGATCCTTCGCGCCCGTGGATGGCAGGACGAAAAGATATGGGTGCGTCTTCAATAGGAATCAGAGCCCCAACCCTGGCAGGTTTCCGTCCAGTGTCCCTTTAAAGCCGCAGCGAAAAGAGGGCACCTTTTTCTTGAAAAGCAGCCTGAGCCCGCTGAAAAGGGAACACCTTTAAAACAACTCTTTCTTAGGATGGTGTGCTCAAAGGACACCGGGATCCTTACAGTATACACCTGAACATTGCAACTTGTAAATGGTGGTCTCCAACTTTATTTTGGTGTTGAAAAAGCAATATGTTTCAAATGGTTGCAAAATGAATTTCTTTTAAGGAGCCCTGGGAAACCTTGCCAACAGCTCCCCTTTGAGGGGACTTGTCCGCTAGCCAAACAGTCTGCCTCGTGGCTTTCGCCCGCGTGGAAATCGGAACATAGGCGCACATCCTTGCAGCTACCCTCCCACCTGTTCAAAGCCCACCCAAAAGACATGGCGCAACCAAGCTTTCTGAACGCGTGCTCACTTCCTGAGTGGGCTGGAAAAAGGGAGTGGAAATGATCCAAACCCAAAAAGGGTTTGCCTTTTCCACTGAAATGAACAGCCTCCCTCCAAAACGGTTTCTACACTACCAGGGGGGCTGCTTATTTATCCCACAAGTGGAAAAGGCAACCAGTGAACCCAAAAAGTTCAAAGTCCAGGCAATCGGGAAGCGCTTCCCCCTGCGACACGTGCGGCCTGCGAAGAGTGCTTGGTCCGGGCTCAAGGCGAAGGACACCGTGAGCAGGTCCATCACCTGTGGGGAATGAGCAGACCAGACTTGGACCCCTGGAAGGTCAACTTGCTGGCGAAGGCCCCATGACGACCCCTTCTGAAAACCAAAAATACTGCTCTTGCCCTGCCTCTTTCCAAAAATGCATGCATTTGCCATTGCTTTTGGGATTTTGGGAGACTAGCGAAGCAGCGAAGGAAGTGAGCGCCCCTCCTTTGCTTTTCCCAGCCGCGGAAGAGATGAAGAGGCTGAAGATGGTTGTGCAAAAAAGGAAAAGGGGCAGGGCAGAGATACCAGGAACGGGGCATCCATCTCTTCCGTTTCTTCTCTTCTTGTCTTCATTTCCTCCCTTGGACTCCAAGACTCCTCCGGAGGGAGAGGTGGCGAGGAGTAGGAAAGAGATGGGAAAGGAAAGGGATGATCATCCGGTTCCTTTGGTCCTCACGACCCTTACGCCATTCCCCCCCCCCCAAGCTCCATTGGCAAAGCTTCCTCCCTACTCCCAAACTCCCGCCCCCACCTCCCCCTCCCTCCCTCCCCCTCCACCCTCCCTCCCTCCCACTCCCCCCAACCCTCCCCCTCCCTCCCTCCCCCTCCCTAGTACCTATTCCTCAAAACTGCAGACCAGTGGCAGTATTAACACGGTGGATACAAGAGTCAGGCACACCGAAAGTATTCTGTATGTATTGCCAAAAGTAAGATGCAAAGCTGCCGGCATTTTCAAGCAAAGGAACAACACGATGCCCCACTCCCTCCCTCCCTCCCCCTTCCCCCCCCCAAAAAAAAAAACGCCCCACGCGCAATCTCCCAGGCGCCATCTGCGGGAGCAAGGGCCCGAAGGACATGCCGAACAAGTTGTTGGTGCCCTGCGCCAGTCCCACGCCGAAGCTTCGGAGCTCCTCCTCCTCCACCGAGTTGTTGCACACGATCCTGGCGCTTTGAGCCCAATCAAAAGAGAAGGAAAGTCGAGACAAACACACACATACATACATATATATATATATAAACAAGAAACATGGGGGCTTGATCGATTCACATGTCCTGGATATGTTTTCTTTTTATGGGGGTTGTTTCTTGGACAAAAAGTCGATCACCATTTGTAGGTTTCACGGAAACACTTGCTTCACACCAAGGACCAGCCATGCTGGATCTCTTTTGTTTCAGATCACCCGCTAAAAAGAAAAAGAGGGAGCGATCTTGAGAATGTCACTTATGGCAGCGAATGCAGCCACCCTCTCTGAAAGTGAACAGGTCCCCTTCCTGGGTTCTTCTTTTTTTTGGTTGGGGGGCGGGGGGTTGGGTTTTTCCGCTGGGAACAAGCGGCACTCGCAGGAAATGCCGGAAATGCCGCCCGCCCCCTGCGGCCAAAGGGCTGGATGAGGCCGGTGGTGCTACCGATGCCCGTGCATAGCAGGATCACCTCACATGGCGGGGCTGACGCCTGGCATCCCCCTGGCTTCATGTCGTCCAAGCCCCCTCGAAGCAAAAAAAGAAGAAGAAAGGATACCCTGAAAAAAGACACGCAAAAGGGTAGCTTTCCATAAAGTAGCCAATTGTAAAGCACATGGTAGGTAGAAGTAGCAGCACTAGTAGCAGTAGAAATAGCACAAGTAGCTCCCCGTTGCCAAACGTACCCCTCACTTCCTGAGTGGATTCGGAAAAAGCTGTACCATTTTTCTTGTTTGCCACCCAACTGGTCTGGCCGAAACGGTATGAAAAGCCGAAGCACTCGGAAAGTGGGCCGTGGTTTGTCCGATTCGGATGGGCGAGAGGCCTTTTCATTTAATTACTCTGTGCCAAACCCCTGTCAGCTCCTATGTTGTTGGACTGGAACTTGTTGCTCTCCGTGGGTGTCTTTGAGGGATGCCGAGTCCGGTAGATTCCTGGCGAGCGCCAGAGTGTTCAAAGAGTGCCGCAAGTGAAATCTCCAATTCTCCAGTATCTTGGTTGACGTTGGAAGGGGAGCTAAAATTTATATTTTACCAGCTAAGTGGGGATAGGCAAACATGTAAAATGTTTCCCAACAACAACCATGGTATCTCGTCTGTTTCGAAAGGGAAACCCCGCAGAGTGAAACGCTGACTTCGCTTTGCAACTGAGTCGCCCCCGACCAGGCCAAGGTCAGGAAGAGGTAGAAGTAGTCCCGGCCACACAGCAGCTGCAGCAGCAGGCCTGGCCGAAATCAAAAAAAAACGGAATCGGAAAGACCCGTGGAAAGCAATAGTGACACACACACACACTCACACACACACACACAACTACCTTGAGCAAACCGACTTGAAAGCCACAATAGTGGTGACCATTGGACCATTGGTTCCTATTGCTGACGCTTTGGGGCCCACATTTACAGGCCATGACCCATCCTGTAGCTCCCCTTAGGCTTTGGCGAGCCGGCTCCAAAACACAGCCCTGACTAGGTCTTCGGGCTTCACCTTTGCCTCCTTAATGACTTAATGGACTGCATTTACGTGGCTTTCCTTACAACTCGGAGTCCCCGTCACTTTTTGCTAGTTTTATGGTGGACTTACCTTTGGCTCCCTGAACTCTGGGCTCGCTCTCCTCGTCCTAAAAGGGTCCTAAAAGGGGCAACCCAGGCAGCTGCACGTCCACGCGTTCCGGTAAGAAAAATGGGTTGGCGAACGCCCGTGAACGCAGCGGTTTCTCCAAAGAAGGGCTGAACACATGGGGCAGCACTTTGGAATTGGTGACTAATTGACCCTGGCTGCAAACCAAATTGCGTTGAAGGAACATGGGCCTTTTTCGGGACATGCACCACCAATCCCACTACGACGCAAGTGCCCACAAGGCTCTCTTGGCTTTGAAGCGCAGTCAGGTGTGCCAGGGTAAAGATTCGCGGTTGCCGAGGCACAGGTGCAGAGAAAAAGTGTGTCTCCTGGTTTTGTGGGAGATGGTTCAGTTCCCCCATGTCCCTCCCAAGTTGACTGGATATTTTGACCCCACTTCATATCTGCGTTTCTCAAAGCAAGGTGGCCGCGCTTGACAACAAGCTGGCTTCCTTCGCCAAATCGGACTGAACAACACGGACTTGGTGGCTTTTTTCCAGCATCTGCCGGCCTGCAACCATCATGGCGGCTCCAAGGCAGGACACCTTGGTCAACTGATACCCCCCCAAACTCCCCCCCCCTTCAGGATGGCAAAAACCTGCGCTTTGGGGGATGTTTTTTTTTGGGGCAGGGCAGGCTTCTGATCTTCACCTGGACCACGACCTCCTTCCTGGTGGAATCGAATCAGGGCGGCGGAGAGAAAATCGCTACCCACATCTGGGTCCATCAAAGCGACATCCTCAAAATCCCAGGAGCAACTTTGAGAACCTCTCTCAAGCTGTTGAGACGCAAAAAAACAACAAACACACACACAAAAAGAAAAACAGAAGAAGAAAAAAAGAAGAAATAAAGAAAGCAAAAAAAAAAACGGGCGTCCAACTCGCAAAGGCTTCACTTCCGCGCGAGAAAGTTCCGCGGTTTCGAGGCCGAGGGCGCGTAGAGGGCTTTCTGCAGGAAGCCCAGCGTCACCTGGGCGTTGGAGCCCTCCTTCACCGAGCTGCTGATGGAGATGCCGATGGCCCCGCCTGCCGTGCGGGGTGCGGCGCATGTCCAGGGACCCGTGGGCTGTGGGTGGAGTGGGCTGTGGGCTATGGGCGGCCGAGGAAGATTTGAATGTGTTCCTTTTCGCCAGGGCTCCCTATACTTCCACCCCACCAAACACCCCTGGCTTCCTTCAATCATCACCCCACCAAAAAGGATGGTTTCAAAAAATTGGCCCAAAAGGCGATGTCTAAAACCACCACAAGGGGAAATATCGGGAGCTCTGTTCGCTCCCTTTGCGGACTGCAAGCCCCGTGAAAACCTGATGCCCTGTAGATGTTTTTTTTCTGCAAGACAGTGCCCATCATACTATCATACTCCAGCCCCACGTTTCTGGCCACAGTTTTGCTGCCGTGCAACCACTTGAGAGAGGACGGAGCGAAAAGCGGGCCGCTTTCCAGAAGTGCCAACGCTGCCTTTTCACCCGCGGCGGGTGAGCCAGGATCGTTGAAATTGCAATCTAAACTGACGGAAAGCTGGATACATTGTGTGCGACCTTTGAAATGAGCTGTGCAAAGCAAATTGAGGTACTCAACTTGGCAAGCCAGATGCCTTCCGCCCTTCCATCCTGCACGCCGTCCCATAGCCGTATGCTTCAAAAAGGCGCAAGTCGAAACCATCGGATTCGTTGGACCAAAAAAAAAAAAGTCGCCCGTCTCCAAGCTTCAGAGGTCGGATCTGCAGGAGTAAGATAACCAAACATGGAACCAGACAGAAGCCCCGCATTCAGAGGCAAGTTGTATTGCAGGGGCTGCCCTCAGGTTATATACTTCAGCTCTGGAGTAAAAAGGGGGGGGGGGGGGGGCAGGTACTATGGCTGAATTACCCCATTCTCTTGGAAGTACCGTCCCCATGATATGGCTCATCTTGGTCGTGGTGTGGCATCATTGCCCCAGCCAGCGATGCGGATCTGGATGTTGCTTCCTGCATCAACCATCCATCACCCAACATCTATCTCAAACCGCAGCTCTCACCTCCAAACGTCCAACTTCTGTCCCCTCTCGCCACGCCATGAAGAATGGGTCCTTTCTGTACCAATTACATCTCAATGACTCCTTCAGCACCTTACACGCGGTTCCCTTCGTATCACAGAGTACGGTTGCCAAAGCCTCACGACCCTTTCCCACAACTACCGTCCTGTTGCCAGTTTGGCGTGGATCCGACCTGTTGGCCGTGGTCTCGCAATCGTGACCCCCTCCTCCAACATACACCTCCCGACACCTCCGGAAACCCAGTGGGGCCTAACCAACCACAACCCGAGCCCCTGCCCTCCACCCATCCCAACATCTCCCCGCCCAAACCGCCTGAAACCCCGACACTTCAACAGCCACCGGCGCCTACCCCGGTGATCACAAGAAAGCTCACCACAGCCAGCTGCTTTTCCATGCCCCACAAGGCCATGAAGAGACGGATCCTGAGACAACTTCAGGGGAAACTTTGAAGGCGCCCCCCTGCGACTCGACATTGGGTGCGTGTCAAAATTGCCCCCCACAAAAAGTGCTGTGCCTTCTAGTTTCCCATGAAACCAGCCCCAAAAAGGGTACCAACAAAAAACATGAATCCACATGGAACCAATCAAATCATCACGTTCACGAAGAAACTCCATGGGGGGGTTCACTGTTTCGCTGTTTGGGTGTCACCTGAATTTGCGGAGAGTAAGTAGGGAGTAGGGGCCCAACAGCTGTTTGAAAAGATCGCTGGTTGCAAAGAATTGAAAAGGAATCAAACCCTAGACTGAATACCAGCTGATACCCCACCAACCGCCCGTCCACCGCTCATCCACCGCCCAATTTTCGTTCTCACAGCCAGCGGGCCACAGAAAAGCCAGGCCCGCGTTGATGTAGTTGGCCGAGGCGAAGGCCATGGTGGCGCGGCAGAAGAGCTTGTTCTGCCACAGCTCCTAGGGTGTTGCAGGTTTCTACCAAGGGTAAAGGGCCACCCCCCCCCCCAAACAGTGTTTTTCTCAGGTTCTTACCAAGGGCCGCCACTAAAGGCTCCCCCAATCCCAACAGGGGCGAATAGAAACGAGCAAGGGCTTTTGCTCATAGGGCTCCTGTTGGTTTCCGGTTTTGGAGACCTTGTGGAAGGCCCTTGGCCGCCATGGGACATAAGAGTGTTCTCAAACTCAGGGTCGCCTAAATTGTGGTTATTTTAGGCTTCTCGCTGAAACCGGGCTGCTCAATATGGGGGGTTGGCAATCCCAATCAACCCCCATTGGAAAACCACACAGGGGATCCCTTGTAAGCAGCAAGGAATTGAACATCCCAGTTAAACATCACCCCAAGCAAACTCACTTGAAACTGGCATCAAACACGTGATGTTTAAACCAACAGGGATATAGAGAAACCCTCCTGCCAAAAGCCAGGGGGTCCCATGTCTGACAGGGGGTCGGGAAGCCTTTCAGCGGGGCTATACGCCATCTTTATGGAACTGAAACAGGGTCAGTGTTTGGATGTATCCCTTAACTCACCCTGTTAAGGATACCGCAAATTTGTTGGTTCTCAGCAGGGAAGTTCAAGGGGGTCGAGAAATGAACATCACATTTGGGCACTTCTGCCCTGGCCCGAATACATGCGTCCTTTTGGGTTCCTTTGCAAGCCAGCCAAAACAAACAAGCACCCATTTCGGGGAAGCAGGGTTCCGATTATGCGCCTAAGCATCACCTAGTACGTCCAGAACCCCGAAAGAAAGGAAGGCAGGAAAGAAAAGAAAGGAAGGCAGGAAAGAAAAGAAAGGAAAGAAGGAAAAGAAAGGAAGGCAGGAAACGAAAGAAAGAAAGAAAGAAAGAAAGAAAGAAAGAAGGAAAAGAGATAATGAAGGAAAGACACACACCCACCCTCCCTCTTTTCTTGTAAGCCGGGCAATTCATTTTTCACTTCTCTCTTCTGGTCCTGCACCTGCTGACCCACGGACATATCCTTGGTGGGCACCACCGGGTGCAAGAAGCTGCCGGAGCGAACCCGCGGACGCGTCACCTTCGCGCCCTCCAGGTTGGAGATGTCGTCCGACATGGAGCGAATGCGTCGGTCCTCGGGTCTCGGGTTGCCTCAAACGGAAAATCGCCGCCCCTTTTTTGGCGCCGTGGAAAAATTCAAGTGAGTGAAACACGAAACAAATAAGAAGAAATAAAACCAGGCGCTTATAGACATCCATTGGACAGTTGCTCCGGGACAGTTGCCTTTGTGGCTTTTCGACACCTCACGAAACTGATGGAACGAGGAGAGCACATCCGGAAACACGGGGGGCCCTGCAAAGGGAAACCGTATGGACATGTACCCCCCCCTTTTTCTCTGGCTTCCTCCAAAGAACGCCTTGACTCGGCAGGAGGGCAATACTTTTGTGGGGACAAAGGGCGACAGGGCACGCCGACGCCACCTATGGCCATGGGTCAAAAATCCAAATTGTACCCCCAGTGAACATCCGAATCCCCACTAAAATAGGTTCTAAAATGGGTGGTGAATTCACCTACCCAAAAATGGAATACCAAAACGGTTTTGAACCACAGCCATATGGGTGGGGATGAACGTCTCTCACATCGCGCAAGCCCAGGCGGCGGAGTCCAAGATCTCTTCCTTTACCTTCTCCCGTTCCACGGCACCTCGGTGCATTTTTTCACCTCCCACGCATTTCCCCTGCTTAAAGGTAGTGTATGCCAATCCTTTTCCCCAGTGGGGGTCAAAGGGGACGCCCCAGGCTCGAGCTGAGTCGGACCCGATTCGGCCGAGTCTAAGGCCATCTCTCCAGCCTACTTGCCCCCAGAAACAGAGCCAAACTCAAACCATGGCTTCAGAAAACTTTCATTGGCTTAAAGCGGCACACACACACACACATGGGTGTGGGTCAAAAAGAGGTACCCAAAATGGAACCCTGGTAAAAAGAAACAAGGACTAAAACCTGCAGCCCCCTCGTGGTTTTCTTTCGACCCAGACCCACATAGGTGGATATGCACATGCAAAGTTCACAGTGGGGTCCACCACTTTTGGAAACACTCGATCGGCCAGTGGCTGGGTTGCTGATCCGCCTGAGCAAAGCGTCCAACCTTTTCGATGGATTCATGGAAAAGCACTGTGTTTGCAAAAGGTCCTCCGGCACCAAACAACCAGCCACACTGTGGATGGACAAAATCCCGGACCTCTTGGGGGGGATGAAACGCCATGAATACTTGGATGAAACCACCTACCAGCTGGTGTGGGATTCTGTCCACCCACGATTTTGCACGTTTTCCAGGGTCCGATTCGTCCGACTGAGGCTGCTGGCTGCTGATCTTGAGAGCACCGGCAGGCACGAAGAGAATCACCGCCAGCAGCAGGCCCAGAACTGCCGCCTGGAGGGTGCGCGGGAGGCTGTGGAATGAACTCAAAATCGGAATCGGAACCTACGAATCGGAGCCAACTTGGGGCGGGCTTACCCCAAATGTGGTTTCCCAGTTGCGGAAAATCGGAGTTGGGTTCCGAAGTTGCCAAGAAAGACCATGGAAAATCGGAGTTGCATTCTCCAATACAAATCGGAACCCCAAGATGGGTTGTCCTGTCAGTTGTCCTCTCAAACCACCCAAAAAGGGGTCCATGTTGCGATTTTTTTAGGGAACCGGGTCCTCTCACAACTGCTAGAGCAGTTGCATCTTGAGAGGCTCACTTGCAAAGACAATAGGGCTCAATAAAAACATCTCAGGGCAGCCACCATTAAAGGGCATTTTTTGAGGCTAAACCGCCCTGCAGTTTGCTCCAAATCCAAGCTATTCGTCGAGATACCCCACAGATCAACCCGACCTGGACCTTCACACAACGAAACGTGCGTTGTTTTTGCTTGTGCTCTGTTGTTTTTTTGTCAGTAGAACATCCGCCCGCCAGTTCCACGGCTGCCCGCCGGTCCCGGAGAAACCAACTTCCCCACGTCACCCGCTCCTCGAACTGGAAGGCGGTGGCGTAGGGCAGGCCGTGGGCGGTGCTGAAGCCCGCCAGCAGGGTGCCGACGCCTCGCGCTTCCCAGGGGCTTCCGGGGGTTTCAAGCGGGCCACCTCTGGGATGTGTGGGGTGGACAACTCGGAAAATGTCCGGTAGGTGCCCTACCTGCAAGTAGGGAACCAACACTTTGAGCTTCCTCCTTGGTTTGGCGTTTGGAGGGGGAACGGATGGAAAAAAAAACAAGCCAGCAATGAGGCTGAGGCGGACTGAGCCAAAACCCCTTGAAGTAGAAGACAAAGCGTTTTTCAGAGATCTGAGATGAACCATCTGCAGTAACAGATTGCTATAACCCACTGCGGCCTGCGGGACACCTAAGGAAAAGGTGTTTATTTGCCTTTCTTTGCCTTTCGTGTGGCATTCCCCAAAAGTTGCGACCAGCTTGATTTTGCCCGAAAAAACGGAAACGCAACGCAGGTTAACATATGGAAGCTAACCTGCCCCAGGGCGGATTCACTCAAACTCAGACAGAAAAACTACGCCCTGCGATCCCAAAAGAAGATTCCTCCACAAATGAACTGTTCTTGTGCGAATCTGCAGGGAGTAAGCCTTCACAGTTTGAGGGCCGACCGAACCTGAACATATGGAGGGAAACCAGCTGTCTCCCATTGTTTTTGAAAACGCACGTGTTCTCGGAAACAACTCTTAGCTAGGATGCTTGAAATTGAACGGTTGTGAACACAAGGTTCCTCAAGATTCCCCCCTACACCATCCCACCAAAGGAAACTCACGTTAAATTTGCAACTAGAAGGTGATGTGAGTGTGTCGGAAACATAGGGGGCCCCCAAAACAGATGGACTTTGCTTTGGCCCTCCAACAAACCGACGGCCCCGTGTGCAAACTCCGTCGTGTCCGCCGCAAGCGGAGTATGACAAAAGCAACGTGTCCGGGGCGCCGTTGCCGACCCCGGCAGAGACGCAGCCGGAGAGGTTGATCCACAGAGGCAGGGAGGCTTCGTCCGCCCACTTGGCGACCCACAAGGGGGCCCAGACCTCAGCGCCGTTTGGAGAAAACGAACCATATTTCTAGGGGTTGATTCCTTTTCCATTCTTTTCAACCATGGTCAATGGTTCTTTTCAAAAAACAGCTTTTTTCTGGGTTTCCTGAGGTTGTCTAGAAAGAATCCCTGGAAAGAATGGGGAAGGTACCTGGAAATTTTGGTCAGAGTCGTGGGTCTTGGAGCTACTGTGGATGGACCAAATCCTACGCCTAAAAAACCCTGGACTGATGATGCCCCTGCAAATGCCAACGAACAATGATTTCCTATGGTTTCATAGTGATGCGAACGGAGTTCGTCCATCCACAGTGTGATTTTCCAAGAAATTTGTGAGGTGCAAAAAGTCACCTTGCTTTGGTACTCAAGACGACTTGACGTTGCAGGCTGATGTTTGGAGGCTTTCAGCTGCCACAGGCGACTGACAGCATTTCCGCCTCCCATGCATGCCTGCATCCTGTGCGACGCTTATTGAGAGATATCTGAGAGCTTACTGCTTGGGCCTATTGAGGCGGGCCTAAGGCCTGCTCCGAGCTAGCCGCGCAATGTACGTTTCAACTTGAGTTCAAAAGTTGAGCCCAAGAGGAATAGTGCTGGGGGTCGGCGGCAGTCAGGCGTCAGCCTGGGCAACCCTGATCGGGCCAGCCCGGAGGGCTACCTTCAGGTATACGGCCGTCCGCCCCACGCCGCCGACCATGTGCGGACCATGCTCCGACCATGAGCCGACCATGCGCAGAACATGAGCATACGTTTTGCCCTTATAAGGGGTGAAGGATTTGCGGATTGGTTTAGGCGATTTTCAAGGATTTTTGTAGCATCTCCCCGCGGCGTCCAAAAACGAGTCCAAAAGCGAGTGTTGTTGGGGGTGCCTAGTACTGGACAACACATCCCGGATGATGCGGATGATGCTATGCATGCTGGCGATGCGAAACAAGGGGCTGAAAATTGCTGAAAGCGAAGGGGAAACGCAGCAAAACAGAGGGAAGTGAACGAAATGGAAGTGAAAGGAATTGCACGAACATGAAGAGGTCACTGGAGAGAAACCAAAATGCTTTAAAATGCAAGCGCAGAACATGTCGGACATGCAGGGAAGACTTGCAAAGGAAGTGAAGTTGGTAAAGGAAATGACTGAACGCCAGGTGCCGCGTCAGCGTGTAAATCCGGCTACGCCTCCTGGGGTACATGTCGCCGCGAGGCAATTTGCCTGCTAGCTTCAGCTACAGGGACTGCACCCGTGCCGCCGGCCCTCGTCACTTGGCCGTGATGCGTTGCCTAAATCCGGCGCCTCTGCATCACCAGCTCGGGCTTGCGGTTTTGCTTGCCTGTGGGAAACCCTCGCAAAACATCGCGCATATGCAGGGTTTAGGGCATGTGGCTGACATCATCGGGGTCTGGGGTTGGGCCTGGGATGCTTCAGCGGGGCTTGGTCTGCA